ATGTTAGTCTCATTCACACACCTTACTTACTGTGCCCCCAATGCCATAAGATGCCAGTCTCATTCACTCACCTTATTAACATACAGGGCTCGCAACAACAGCCAATGCCAGTCTCATTCACTCACCTTATTAACATACAGTGCCCGCAACGACAGGCAATGCCAGTCTCTTTCACACGCTTTACAAGCATACTGTACCCTGGGCATACCAATCCCATTCACACGCTAACAAGCTGTGCCCCATGCCAGGTGATGAAGCGTCAATCACACGACTTACTAACAAACTGTGCACACTCATTGACAATTACACCAGTTGCCCACTCACAGTTCATTCCCTGTCAGTTTATGTTACACTCAATCTTTTCTCACAGACTTCCCCTCTTCACTTACACTGCCTGCCAGTCTTACTCTGTCCTCTGTCACTGCCCTGCTGTCAATAACACCCCCCACACTGTCCTCCTGTCAATCACTCTCCTCCTGTCTCCCCTTTAAATGTACAACATGTCAATCACTCCATAGGTTTTTGAAATAAATATTGTAAATGTTAATTAAAAATGTTGCACTGTATCTTCTGAGAAATATAGATGCATACGAGTGTATAATCATTTTATTTTTTGGGGGGAGGAGGGAAGAGCAGTGGATCTTGGTCCCACACTTTTTTCCCCACGACTTGACCCCTGCCTGGAGTGTCTTTGACACAATCACAAGAGGTGAGTCTCTACACACCAGAGCTACATTTTTACTTGCCAATGTCTTTCAGAGAGTAATACATTGTATAACAATTCAGAGTACCAAATGGCCTTGATTATTTGACCCAAAGATCCATCCATGCACAGTATTGAAAGTCAGGTCCAACATGAATATTTTTGGGCAGTCTACACATGCATTAAAAATACCCAAACCAAGCATGTGAACATATATGTAGTTTGCATAGTATTTACATACATGCATTGCTATTTTAAGAAATTAACCCTCTACACTTTTTTCCATCATCGATTTAATGATTAAACCTTTGATTACAAAAAAAAATAATAAAAAAAAATATTTGGAGCATTTTGCTAAACGATCTTCTTTTGTTATGTATAGTACGATATGCAACTGGAAAGAATTTGGGTCGCATCTCTGCTGCCTTTCACTTCTGCCATGTAGGTTTGCTAGATTGCTTCTCATAAAAGAGCGATTGACGTGAACACTAAAAATAGTGTTACTATGCAAAATCACATGGATATATATCACGCTACCAAAATACACTCTCCTTTAACCTAGTACCGGAACCCTAGAAGGTGGCATGTTTGGCATGGGGCACAGGGGCACCATGTCAGACTACACCAAAGATCAGTACAAACTGATACCATTCATCTTACTTTACACTGACAACCACTTTTTTGTAACAATCCAGTTTATTAAACTATTATGATAACAATAAAGCCTTTAAATGTTATGCTAGACTTTCATAATTAAAGCATATTTCTTAGTTTCTCTCTGTTGCGTTTTTTTCATGTTGACCATACCTATGGAACCCTCAAATCCATGTTGGTGGCTTAACGGTTGTAACAGCAGAAACATAAGCATGGACTGTAAAATTCTCTCCCAAATCTCCCTTTTTTTTCCACAATTGTTCCTTTTTTTTCCCCCTCAAAGTTTGTCCCTTATCTGTCTTCATCCATTTGTTTTTTTATTCTTTTATTCTCTCGTAATCCTTTTTCACCCATAATGCCTATTTTTTCTGATTTTACAGTTTTTCTGTCTCACGTTCTCTCTTTGCCTGTCTGTACTTGTTTCACCTTAATTTTACCATTTCTGTAATTTTGTTTTCTTCATTTCTCTTGCATTTTCTTGTGATTTTTCCTCATTTTTACCAAACTGATTTTCTTTTTAAAAATGTGCTAAAATTCAAGAATTCTATTCAAGGAATTAAACTGAACATGGAATTCTGAGATGCCACGAGAAGAGGTTTGGGAAACAAAACTGTATTCTAGTCCTCTTGGGCTATCATAAATCTGAGCTCCTTCGATCTGCATGTAACTCACACAACCAAAAACGTCAAATGTGTTGCTACCCCAAAAGGAAGAAAAAAAAAAAAAGGACGCCAAGACATGTTTCTCATCTAGTAAATTAAGCTTCCTGTGCCGTTTCTCCCTTGACCTGTCTTTTGCTCTCTCCAACCTCCACGTTCTCCTCTCCCAAGTGTCTCCTGTCCCTCTCAACCTACCTAATACTACAATTCATTCTAAGCCACAGCCACGTCTGCCGTGGCACGGCAAGCTACCCTGCAGTCTCCAACGATGTTCGCATACTGCAGAACGTTGGAGGAAGTTCTGTACCACGCCTGACTTCCTACGTTCATCAAATTCATGCTGTGTTACTATACTTCTACCTTTTCCCTTGCCAAGCAAAAGTATGTTACCTCTCTCATCTCCACAAACTATCATGATCCAGACTGCCTTTCCATACCTTTAACTCCCTTCTGCTCCCCACAGCAACCATGTCAACAACTAACATCACAGTTGGTGAATTTGCATGTCACTCACAGTTGGCGATCATGTCACTTAACCAACAAGATCAACCAAAGTAGAAATGCATTCTTTCCTTCTCTGCTTCAATACTCTGCTTCCATTTTGTTCCATCTTTTACTCTTAACTCCTTTCCCTGCCTTTTAATAAGAGGTCTTTGAAAACGTATTCTCTCCTCTAACCCTACCACCTTTCCTCTTGACCCGCCCTCCCCTTTATTACCTTATCCATTCTTTTTCCACTAGTCTAGGCTGATCCCTAATGCACATTTTCAAACTCTCTCTGTATACTGGCATTTTCCCCTCTTCCCTCAAACATGCAATCACCTATCCCATCTTAAAAAAGCCATCTCTTGACCATACTTCTCCTTCTAACTATTGTTCCTTATCCCTTTTCCCCTTCAATTTAAAGCTTATTGAGTGGCTTATGTTTACCCATCCCACTCACTTTCTCAATACCAATTCCCTCCTTAATCTTAATCTAGCTTCCATTCCCTCCTTTTACTGTAACTACTTTTACCAAAGTGACTAACATCTCTGCTAAATCTAAAGGTCAGTACTGTCTCTTAATTAGCCTCGATCTCTCTGCTGCCTTTAATACTGTTGACCACTCTCCTCTTCTTCAAACCTTTCACAACCTTGGCTTCTGTGCTTCCCTGGTTTTCATCCTATCTTTCTAAACACTCATTTAGGATCTTTTTCTCTGGTGGCACTTCTTCCCCTCTACCTAGATCAGTTGTTGTTTCCCAAGGCTCTGTTTTTGGTCTTCTTTTATTCTACATCTACACTGTCTTTCATGGTAACCTTATTAACTCTTTTTGATTTCAATATCATCTATATGCTGACATTACTCAGATTTACATCTCGTCCTCTGACCTATCTCCTGTCATCCTGGAACGTCACACATTTTCTAATACGTAATCTTTCCAAAAACGTAACTATTCATATTTTCCTCCTCAAATAGTCCTCCTTCATCTAGCTCCTTGTTGTCAGGGGGACACCTATTGCCCCAACTTCTCAAGCTTGCTGCCTTGGAGTTACTTTTTACTCAGGTCTTTTACTCACCTTTTCTCCTCACATACAGTCTGTTTCCAAATCCTGTAAATTCCACCTTAAAATTATTGTCCATTCACCTTTTTTTAACTCACGATACAATTAAGACACTTATTCATGCTCTCACATTTCCAAATTATTTCAACTCACTACTCATCGGTTTTCCAAATATCCGCATTGCCCCTCTTCAGTCTGTCACGAATGCTGGCACCAGACTCATCTTTCTGACTGACCGCTACTCCCACACCTCACTCCTTTGCCATTCATTACATTGGCTTCCTGTACCCTTCAGGATCCAATTCAAATTGCAAACACTAACCTGCAAAGCCCTCACTAACTCCACTCCTCACTACATTTCCTCTTTACTCAACAAATACACCCTTTCTTGTTCTCTTCACACTGCGAGTGACCATCTCCTGACACCTGCTCGTTCCCATACAACCAACTCTTATCTGAAAGATTTTTAAAGGGCTGCCCCGCTCCTGTAGAACCCCTACCCCATGTCATAAGACTCTCCCCCAGCCTTTAAGAAGTCACTGAAAACACACCTCTTTTGCCCTGCACAGTTTCCTCACCTCCATAGCCCAGCTCACTCTCTCCTTCCACTCTTTCATTCTTCCACACACCACTTTTATTAACATAACTTGGAAAATAATGTGTCCAGCTTGTCTCGTTACAACTACATGTCTGTTCGTCCACCCATTGTAAAGTGCTGCGGAATTTGATGGTGCTATAAATATAAATAACATAATAATAATAATACTTTTCTTATTGTTGCTGATATCCCTTCATCATAGATTGTAAGCTATTTTGAGACCTTCTTCACCTCTTGTCCTTGTTAATATATTATACGTTAATTACTCGCTGTTAGTTTAACCCATTCTATAAATCTAAACCGCTGCATAATATGTTGGCGCAATATAAAACATAATAATCTCTCACGTTATAACATTTTAGGAAATGCAAAAACGGATATTATTTTATCTTAAGAATGTTTATGTGCATACTTTTTAACCATTCTAGTGTTTTCTTTTTTTTTTTTTTTTACTATTAGAATAAACTAAACAGATTTAAAAACTAAACATAAATAAATAATAATATAACTAATATTCTGTGGTGGCCCAAGAAATAATGGGTGTTTGACTGTTAATGTCTATCTCTGTGCCTAAATTCTTCATCATTTAACACTGCATGTCTCTTTAGGCCTACTTCTATTTGCCTGCCTGGTCAATATATATTTTTTAGGTTTGGTCCACAGTTTGTGCTGTATCTAGGCACATTGTTTTGAATGATACTTGCCCCATGGGAAGGGCCCATTCAGTACATGATGTATGTGTAACATGTGACTGAGAGTGCAGTTCCTTGGAGGAGTGCTAGGTGGCGCCGGAGAGCTCGGAGCGCGGTTTTGACAGGGCAGATTGTTTGGATAGTAAACATTGTCGTTGGTTTGAATGATCGAGAAGGAGAGTCTCCCTCTGTGCCTATGAGCGCCGCCTGTCACTGGAATACGATAGAGAGGGCAGGCCGGGCCTGGTTATCGCTGGCTCTCCCCGCGGGCTGCACACAGGAGCTGACCGGCACAGACAGCAGCCATGTTCCGCAGGATATTACAGATGGTAGGGAGCGGCACGTGAATAGCACTTCCTAGTACGGGGTGTGTGAGCCGGGCAGGGCCCACTGTCTGACAGCCAGCCTCTTAATAGGAGACCCGGGCACTGCCAGCCAGCCAGCTATTTAATACGAGACCCGGGCACTGCCAGCCAGCCACTTAATAGGAGACCCGGGCACTGTCTGCCAGCCAGCTATTTAATACGAGACCCGGGCACTGCCAGCCAGCCAGCCAGACAGCATGCTCATAGGAGACCCGGGCACTGCCAGCCAGCCAGCTATTTAATACGAGACCCGGGCACTGCCAGCCAGCCAGCCAGACAGCATGCTCATAGGAGACCCGGGCACTGCCAGCCAGCTATTTAATACGAGACCCGGGCACTGCCAGCCAGCCAGCCAGACAGCATGCTCATAGGAGACCCGGGCACTGCCAGCCAGCTATTTAATACGAGACCCGGGCACTGCCAGCCAGCCTCTTAATAGGAGACCCGGGCACTGCCAGCCAGCCTCTTAATAGGAGACCCGGGCACTGCCAGCCAGCATGCTCATAGAAGACCCTGGCAGTGCCAGCCAGCCAGTATGCTCATAGGGTACCCGGGCACTGTCTGCCAGCTAGACAGCCAGCATGCTCATAGGGGACCCGGGCACTGTCTGCCAGCTAGCCAGCCAGCATGCTCATAGGGGACCCGGGCACTGCCAGTCAGCCTCTTAATACGAGACCACTGCCAGCCAGCTATTTAATACGAGACCCGGGCACTGCCAGCCAGCCAGCATGCTCATAGGGGACCCGGGCACTGCCAGCCAGCTATTTAATACGAGACCCGGGCACTGCCAGCCAGCATGTTCGTAGGGAACCCTGGCACTGTCTGAGACACAGTGCTCACTGCCAGCCAGCATGCTCATAGGGTACCCGGGTAGTGCCCACTGCCAGCATCTTAACAGGAGACCCGAGGTGTCTGATCCACAGGGCCCACTGCCAGCCCAACACACCCAGTATCACTGCAGTGCTCTATTATACCATATTATGCTATACTGTGCTATATTATACCATACTGTACCATACTAAGCTATATCATACTATGCTACATAGTGCCATAACATACTATAATATACTGAACTATACTTGTGTGTGTTAGAGTTATCTCCAGGCCCTGTCACCCTGTACTGAGAGTGAGTGATCAGCAGGCCCTGCCACCTTGTACTGAGAGTGAGTGATCAGCAGGCCCTGCCACCTTGTACTGAGAGTGAGTGATCAGCAGGCCCTGCCACCTTGTACTGAGAGTGAGTGATCAGCAGGCCCTGCCACCTTGTACTGGGAGTGAGTGATCAGCAGGCCCTGCCACCTTGTACTGGGAGTGAGTGATCAGCAGGCCCTGCCACCTTGTACTGGGAGTGAGTGATCAGCAGGCCCTGCCACCTTGTACTGAGAGTGAGTGATCAGCAGGCCCTGCCACCTTGTACTGAGAGTGAGTGATCAGCAGGCCCTGCCACCTTGTACTGAGAGTGAGTGATCAGCAGGCCCTGCCACCTTGTACTGAGAGTGAGTGATCAGCAGGCCCTGCCACCTTGTACTGAGAGTGAGTGATCAGCAGGCCCTGCCACCTTGTACTGAGAGTGAGTGATCAGCAGGCCCTGCCACCTTGTACTGAGAGTGAGTGATCAGCAGGCCCTGCCACCTTGTACTGAGAGTGAGTGATCAGCAGGCCCTGCCACCTTGTACTGAGAGTGAGTGATCAGCAGGCCCTGCCACCTTGTACTGAGAGTGAGTGATCTGCAGGCCCTGCCACCTTGTATTGAGAGTGAGTGATCAGCAGGCCCTGCCACCTTGTATTGAGAGTGAGTGATCAGCAGGCCCTGCCACCTTGTATTGAGAGTGAGTGATCAGCAGGCCCTGCCACCTTGTATTGAGAGTGAGTGATATGCAGGCCGTGCCACCCTGTATTAACAGTGAGTGAACTGCAGGCTCTTCCATCCTGAACTGAGAGTGAGTGAGTGATCTGTATGTATCAGTACATTTACTTGGTGTGAGAGTGCTGAGAGTAAGTGATCAGCAGGCCCTGTCACCCTGTATTGAGAGTGAGTGATCTCCAGGCCCTGTCACCCTGTACTGAGAGTGAGTGATCAGCAGGCCCTGTCACCCTTTACTGAGAGTGAGTGATCAGCAGGCCCTGTCACCCTTTACTGAGAGTGAGTGATCAGCAGGCCCTGTCACCCTTTACTGTGAGTGAGTGATCAGCAGGCCTTGCCACCTTTTACTGAGAGTGAGTGATCAGCAGGCCTGTACTGAGAGTGAGTGATCTGCAGGCTCTGCCACTCTGTATTGAGAGTGAGTGATATGCAGGCTCTGCCACCCTGTATTGATCAGCAGGCCCTGCCACCTTGTACTGAGAGTGAGTGATCAGCAGGCCCTGCCACCTTGTACTGAGAGTGAGTGATCAGCACGCCCTGCCACCTTGTACTGAGAGTGAGTGATCAGCAGGCCCTGCCACCTTGTACTGAGAGTGAGTGATCAGCAGGCCCTGCCACCTTGTACTGAGAGTGAGTGATCAGCAGGCCCTGTCACCTTGTACTGAGAGTGAGTGATCAGCAGGCCCTGCCACCTTGTACTGAGAGTGAGTGATCAGCAGGCCCTGCCACCTTGTAATGAGAGTGAGTGATCAGCAGGCCCTGCCACCTTGTAATGAGAGTGAGTGATCAGCAGGCCCTGCCACCTTGTACTGAGAGTGAGTGATCAGCAGGCCCTGCCACCTTGTACTGAGAGTGAGTGATCAGCAGGCCCTGTCACCTTGTACTGAGAGTGAGTGATCAGCAGGCCCTGCCACCTTGTACTGAGAGTGAGTGATCTCCAGGCCATGTCACCCTGTACTGAGAGGGAGGAATCAGCAGGCCCTGCCACCCTGTACTGAGAGGGAGGAATCAGCAGGCCCTGCCACCCTGTACTGAGAGTGAGTGATCAGCAGGCTCTGCCACCTTGTACTGATAGTGAGTGATCAGCAGGCCTGTATTAACAGTGAGTGAACTGCAGGCTCTGCCACCCTGTATTAACAGTGAGTGAACTGCAGGCTCTTCCATCCTGAACTGAGAGTGAGTGATCTGTATGTATCAGTACATTTACTTGGTGTGAGTGATAAGCGATGCATTAGTGATTTTTGTACCATGAATAACTGATCTGTAGTGCCTGACCCTGTCTGGTGTGGAATCTTAACAGGGTGTGTTGTCACTTGCAGTACCTGCCTCTTTCAGGGTTTCACCTTCAGATCCCATCCGCTGCATTGAGTATGCATTTCCTGCACAGGCCATAGGTGACTTGAATAATCTTTCCAGTTTAGCAGCTTTGGCCTTAAAATGACACTCCAGAACAGAAATTGGCACTTTTATAAATTAACTTTGTTATACCCCACTAGCTGTAACATTTCTCATTGAGAACTATGTGTTTGTACAGCCACTGAAAATATGGGCTGGTTTGGAAGGAAATGGCTTGCAAAGGCTAAAATACAAATTTTTTTTTTAAGGGTTACTCGAAATGTTACACTGTTTTTGATTTTAGCAACCCGTACTGGCACATCCCCCTCAATGAGTAAAGCAAAAACTTACCTGTGATCCCTCACTAAAGTTCTCCTTGTAGCCTGTTAGTACTCTGGTGATGTTACTCACATTACTGCGAGGAGAGGGATGTCCTGGAGAATGGGATGAAGGGAAGACTTGAGAGGGAGGGCATGCCACTATTGGTTGCCATTTGAATGCAGAATTCAGAATGGTACAGCATGCCATTTGAATGCAGAATTCACATTAGCTGGTTCAGAACTCCTGTTTCGGATTGGCTAATGAACACCTTCCACAGAAAATAGCTTTTTCTTTGTATGTGCAGTACTAAATCGCTGCAAATATACACCACAAGCACCATGACCACTTCAAGTCAGTGAAATGTTCATAATGTTTGGGGTAACTCTTTGGCAGATTTAAAATGCAAAACAGTTACTGAGCGATCTACTTTTAATCATTTCCTCACAAATTCCTTGGTGAATCCGGTAGAGCAGGGATTTTCAGTGAAGTGTGAATTGTTTATTTTTCTTTTTAACCTCAATATTTGAATCGGGAGGGATGGGAAGGAGTCTACCAACTATGTTTCTAGTTCTGCTATTTTGACCTAAAAATACACTCTGGACCCTGCCATTAGAAGAAGTGCTCATAGACACCTTTTGATTGGCACAGTACAGTGTTTTTCTGGGCATGTATACTAGCCACTGTAGCCACTTTAGTGAGATGAAGGAGTTACGGTGCCTACTGTTTCCCTTTAAAATTCACTTTGAAGTTCTGACAATTCTAATGATAACAAAAAACATTTAGTGTAACCTGGAACATTTTAAAGAAATGCATTTTACTTCAGCAGTTGTACAGAGTAAAATAATGAGAGAACGTGTTTTTTTTTCCCAGGATTTCCTGCTCTGCTGGAACTTATGGTTAAAAGTGGGACACTGTATAAAAAGGGCATGTAACTTTATCAATCAGAAAATAATGTTCATTGCAAACATATATCTTGAATCTCTATGCCTAAAAGTTATTTCCCATTAATTTTTTTTATAAAAGCTAAAGCGGAAACATTAAATGTTTAGAAGAAAAGGCAGAGAAATTTAATTTTATGGTGCAGAATAAATTATTTAAAAATGTAAAAAATGTTTGTTTTTTTGGTTTATTAATGTTACTAATCTTGCCTAAGCTACTGATTGCACCAAACATGTAGGTGCCTGGACTACCCATGATGTTTTGAGTCACCTTTGAACTGTGACTACACAGTATTGTTGTAGTTTGTGCAGTTGGCTGGAGCTCAAGTAATCATCCTAAAGAGTCATCACTCAATGAAAACTGGTTAACTGTTAAGAAATTCTAATTTTGCTTCCATCGATTAATCAGTAACTTGGGTGTGGCCATTCTTCCTTCTTCATCCTTCTTGTTCCCTTTAATCAAGTTAAAGGAACAGTTCAATAACAATGTTTGTGTATATATTGCTTGGCTTTGTTTTCCCTTTCAAAAATTACTGCTGTGCATCACTGACATATCTCAAGTTGGACCTTGGGATAGTCTACTTTGGGCATCTCTCCCCCTTACAATTAACCCAGCATTCTCAGCTTACATGCAAATAAACACAGGCATTGTGTTACCATCATCATCCTGTATTTCTGCAGGCATATTTAGCTATATATTATGCATGTACAGTACTGTGCAAAAGTTTTAGGCAAGTTTTAAAGGACCACTCTAGGCACCCAAACCACTTCAGCTTAATGAAGTGGTCTGGGTGCCAGGTCCTTCTAGGGTTAACCCATTTTTTTATAAACATAGCAGTTTCAGAGAAACTGCTATGTTTATCAATGGGTTAAGCCTTCCTCCAAATCCTCTAGTGACTGTCTCATTGACAGCCGCTAGAGGCGCTTGCGTGCTTCTCACTGTGAAAATCACAGTGAGAGCACGCAAGCGTCCATAGGAAAGCGTTATGAATGCTTTCCTATGCGCCCGGCTGAATGCGCGCGCAGCTCTTGCCGCGCGTGCGCATTCAGCCGACGGGGCGGATCGGAGGAGGAGAGGAGGCAGAGAGCTCCCCGCCCAGCACTGGAAAATGGGAAGTTTTTACCCCTTTCCCCCTTCCAGAGCCCTGAGGGTGGGGGCCATGGTGTAAGTCAGGCCACGGTATCACTAAACAGCGTGCATCTTCATAGGATCACTGCAGCCATTCTGGATCCCAGGGAAAGGATCCACTCCAGCTCTCCCAAAGGAGAAAAGGCCGGGTGGACTTAATTTAAAATAATAATATAAAATTACAATTTGTGAGTGTATGAGAAAATGTGAGTGTGTGGCGGTGTGCGTCAAATCAGTGAGTGTGTGTTTGTCAGTGACTGAGTGTGTGTGTGTGTCTTTCAGTGGGTGTGTCTGTTTAGATGACCAGCCCCCCTTTGATCACATAGGAAATGATTCCCCATAGGAAAGCATTGAGAAGCTATTGCGCATGCATAATCAGCATCTCCTGATAGAGATGTGCTGAAGCAATGCATCTCTATGGGAACATTAAGGACCTTCCTGCAGAGCGTGGACACGCTGAACGTAGGTGCTGCACACTGTGCAGCACTAACCCAGGAATCAACTGTAGTGGCCTTCTGATTGATTACCACATGAGTTCTTACTAGGCAGTAATGTAAACACTGAACACAGTGTTTACATTAAAAAGTATGCAGGGACAGGCTATAGACACCAGAACGACTAAGCTTAATGAAGTGGTCTGGGTGCCAGGTCCCTCTAGGATTAACACATTTTTTTTACAAACATAGCAGTTTCAGAGAAACTGCTATGTTTATAATAGGGTTAATCCAGCCTCCAAAGCCTCTAGTGGCTGTCTCATTGACAGCTGCTAGAGGCGCTTGCGTGATTCTCACTGTGAAAATCACAGTGAGAAGACGCAAGCGTCCATAGGAAAGCATTATGAATGCTTTCCTATGAGACCGGCTCAATGCGCGCGCAGCTCTTGCCGCGCGTGCGCATTCAGCCGAAGGGGAGGAGGAGGAGAGCTCCCCGCCCGGCGCTGGAAAAAAAGGTAAGTTTTAACCCTTTCCTCTCCCCAGAACCGGGCAGGAGGGGGACCCTGAGGGTGGGGGCACCCTCAGGGCACTATAGTTCCAGGAAAACGAGTATGTTTTCCTGGCACTATTGTGGTCCTTTAAGCTATAGTTGTTCTGGTGGCTACAGTGTCCCTTTTAAGAATGTTATTTTTGTTGTTGAAAATTAAGCTTTGTTAGTTTAAAAAAAAAAAACTCCTATTTTTTTTGTTTAGCTGGCTCCTAGATTCCAAACAAATTTGTCTTGTCCTGCCCTGCAGTAAAGTAAGAATGCTTTAAAAAAAAAAAAAAAAAAATAGAAAACAAACTAATAACATTTCAATCAGATAACAAAATTACAGAATGAGTGAACAGGAGAAAAATCACCCTTTGCCTTCAAAATAGCATAGTTTCTTTCAGGTACATTTTGTGTTCAAAGTCAGGGATTTTGCTGTTGTATGATCAGGCTAGTACAGGTTTACATTGGAGTTACTAAATGACCTCCATTTGTCTAAATATACATAGGGATTAAGGAGAGCGCAGGTAACTTTTTTTCCTTTGGTTTTTAACTATATATTGGGGCTGATTTGTACTGTGGTCATTGCTGCCGCCCAGGAGTGATGGGAGTGAGTGCAGGACTTCTCTTTTTGTATTTGTATTCAAAATTTTACATTATCTCCTCCCTTAACATTTCATCTTTGGGATTTGCTTGCTTTTGCAGATGTTGCCATTGACCAAAAAGCACTGTAGATTTTGCATCTTACATTTTTGTAAAATAATTTGAAAATTAAAAATGTGTGTTGCTTTGTGAAATGTTGAAACAACATCCTTTTATATTAAATGTTGCTTATTGAATAAAAGCAGATAATAAAACTGCATGTGGTTGGTGTTCAGTATACACATTCCTATGTCTGTTTTATAGTGATCCTCCCATCTGATCAGAGAGGGCCTATGGCTTCCATGTATGTCACTAATGGCTGCGCATGTGTATTGTTCAAAAAGATAATTTGAAAAGTGGTGGAAATACACTTCAAGGTTTTATTAGAGTTGGAAGAAAACACAATTCTAGATTAAATTTCACTGCTTTCTATACAGATTGCACACTGGAAATCCCACTTCTCGTAAGTCAGTAATTCACTGAGTTGCTCATCTTGCAAACCTGGCTAAAATTCAGACTGTATGTTTTGGGAGTTGGATTTTTGGACTGTGATAATATTTTTTTTCTTCTTTCATTTGTTTTAGACTCCAGGGAGAGTTGGCTCTCAGAACTCAGAGTCCGAATCTTCTGCAACCCCTGGAAGCACCGTTAACAATGAAAATACTTCAGAGGTAACTTTGAACATTTTTGATGACATTCAGGATTTACTGTCATTACCAAGCATGCGGGAGGAATGATTTATTGGCTGCAGCCTGATTACAGTAACCATTGTTTTTGTATGATATTTTAGGAAAGGTTACTCATTGTTTCTGTGTTTCACTGTTGTGTTTGAGGGCCACATCCTGCCCCTAAAATTAAACTATAACTCTATATAGAATCACGGAAAAAATATTCCTGAGTGTTTTGTGTGCTTCCAAAAGTATGGCAGCTGCAGCAACAAGAAAATGGGACTCTGACCTGTTTGCAAACTTGCCAACCAGTATAGCTGCCTTTAGTGATGGCTGCCATAATGCACCATTGGATTACATTTTTTGTTTTGTTTTTAAATACAATTATTAATCCCGGCTTGGAGATTTATCTAGTAAAAGTAGAGTCTGAACAAACTCCCAATGTATAATTTCTTAAAGAGGTCCGTGAAATAGATACCTCATCTGTTTTATTGGGTTTGTTATTTTTAGTGGAGATTGTAAAAATGCTGCTTCTGAAATGACCAATACATAGTCATGAAAATATGGGGCTTGCAGAATTAAGGCTGCTTGTGAGCTACTTAACTTTTTAAGGTTTCCCCCAAACAAAGTCTTGGTACAGACTTCATCTTTACCAGGGAATAACCAAGCTGAGGATTCTCATAGCAAGTTGAAGTGCATTATGGTTTTTGGCGTGTTTAACAGGCACCCAAACCACTTCATATCAATGTGCAGTGCCCCTATCTTTTTAGCCCTCAATGTAAAACATTGCTGTTTTGTAGAAATCACAATGTTTTCGTTGCAGGGTGATACATACTTCTAGAGGCTGTTTTCCTGACCGCCACTAGAGGCACTTGTGCTGTAATTTCGGAGTCAGACTTGGTTATTCAGTCAGTGCTTCTCATAGAGAGCATTTGATTGGACGAGCGTTGCATTCTGCAGCACATCATGTACCTCATGCTTCCCTTATGAGAAGCACTGGATTGGGCGAGGACGTGGAAGATGTCGGCAGTCTTCAATCAAACTTTGAAAGGAACTATACATATATATATATTTTTTTTTTAAATGAAGTCTATGTTAAAAATGATCTGAATCCTGAAAGCTGAATCAGCCATATACAGTCATGGGAAAAAGAAAGTACACCTTCTTTGAACTGTATGGTTTAACATATCAGGACATAATAACAATTATCTGTTCCTTAGCAGGTTTTATAATGACTTATTATACTATGTCATGATTTAACAAAAATAAAGCCATAGTAAAGAAGCCATGTGTGGGAAAACTGAGTACACCCTGTGATTCAGTATCTTGTAGAACCACCTTCAGCAGCAATAACTTGAAGTAATTGTTTTCTGTATGACTTTACCAGTCTCACATCGTTGTGGAGGATTTTTTGCCCACTCTTCTTTACAACGTTGCTTCAGGTCATTGAGGTACGCTGGCATTTGTTTATGCACAGCTCCCACCACAGCGTTTCAATCGAGTTGAGGTCTGGACTTTGACTGGGACATTGCAACACCTTGATTCTTTTCTTTTTCAGCCATTCTGTTGTAGATTTGCTGGTGTGCTTGGGATCATTGTTTTGTTGCATGACCCAATTTCAGCCAAGCTTTAACTGTCAGATTGCTTCACATCTGACTCTAGAATACTTTGGTATACAGAGGAGTTCATCGTCGAATCAATGACTGCAAGGTTCCCAGGTTCTGTGGCTGTAAACAAGCCAAAATTATCACCCCTCCACCACTGTGCTTGACTGTTGGTATGAGGAGTTTGTGCTGATGTGCTCTGTTTGGTTTTCGTCAAACATGGCACAGTGCATTATGACCAAACATCTCCACTTTGGTCTCGTCTGTCCAAAGGCATTGTTTCTGAAGTCTTGTGGTTTGTTCAGATGCAACTTTGCAAATTTAAGCTTTGTTTTGGTAACCCTTCCAAACAAACCATATTTGTCCCGTCTTTTTCTAATTGTACTGTCATGAACGTTAATATTTAATGTTTAACATGCTAACAGAGGCCTGTAAAGCCTGAGATGCAAGTCTTGGTGTTTTTGCAATTTCTTTGAGCATTGCAAGGTCTTACCTTGGAGTAAATTTGCTGTTATGTCCACACCAGGGAAGATTGGCAGCTGTCTTCCTCTTTTGAATAATCTTAATCACTGTAGCATGATGAACTTTAAATTGTTTGGAAATGGTGTTCTAAACCTCCCCAGTTTGATGGGCAACAGCAATTACTTTTCTAAGATCATTGCTGATGTCTTTCCTCCTTGACATTGAGGTGACACACACCTGAATGCTCCAGACCACTAATCTGCTAAACCTTTGGCTTTTATAGAGGTGGATACATTTGCTGGTGATCAATTAATCAAGATCATTTGATGAGCAGCACCTGTCTGCTACTTAGTCTCTTAATTCCTATAGAAGCAGTAAGGGTGTACTTGGGTTTACACACATGGCTTCTCAATTTTGGCTTTATTTTTGTTAAATAAATCATGACCTGTGTTGTTCATCTGAGATTGTATTTACCTAATTTTAAGACCTGCTAAGAAACAGATGATTGTTATTTTTTTCTGATATGTAAAACCATGGAATTCAAAGAGGGAATACTTTATTTTCCCCATGACTGTACATGCACCCTTGGTCAGACAGTATTTTATAACAGTTAGTCTCTGCGTTCTTCCCTGGTTCACTTCCTGCACAGAAGCAGGGAAGGCCATAGAGACTAACTGACTAAATGCGCTTGGAGGGGTTTAATAGTCCCCTAAAAGATTATTACTGTTGTCTGGATTATATGCTCCTTTTAATTAAATAATCTATTATGCTCCTTTTAATTAAATAATCTATAATGAATGTGTTTAGAAAACCATAGTATTATGTATTGACTTACATTTTAAATCTGCTTTGAATTTCCATCAATTCACAATTTAGTTGCATTATAATAAAATACACATGGATACATTTAGTAAACCTCCCCAAAACTTTGCTCCTGTAATGTTAGGTTAAAAAGACACTAAGCAGTTTTGGTGCACAGATCATGTTCCTGCAGTCTCGCTGCTCAATTCTGAGCCATTAAGGAGTTAAAGGGACACTGTAGGCACCCAGACCACTTCAGCTCCTTGAAGTGGTCTGGGTGCTGTGTCCCTTTGCACTTAGTGCTGCAATGTAACAGACTCTGCAGGAGCTTTCCAACGTCAGATTTTTCCCCATAGGAAAGTAATGCGCGCTTGTCGCAGGACCGAGGGGGCGGAGCTTCAACCCAGCGCCGAGGGACATCAGCACTAGAATAAATAAAGGGCTTTTAACCCTTTATTTACTGGGTAGAAGGGGGAGGCAGAGGGATCGGTAGTGCCAGGAATACAGCTTTCTATTCCTGGCACTACAGTATCCCTTTAAATTACTTTGTTTATGCAGCCGTAGTCACACCTAACTGCTGGTAATGTGCACACTAAACACTTGCTGTAAAGTCCTCTATTGTTAGACTTCCTTTAGTGCACATTCTGTTTACTTTAGAATTTCTTACTTCCTGATAAACAACTAAAGCAAGTTAACATCTGAAAATGAAACCATTTTGTTTCCATGCAGGTTGTGTCAGTCACAGCCACAGGAGGTATTTAACTCTTAAATGACAGAGAATTAAGCAGTGACACTTCAGAGGCATGATCTATACACCAAAGCCGATAATTAATTAATTAATTTATTATTGTTGTTTATTTTCTATAGCAAGTCACCATTAAAGGGACCTCAATAACTTTAGCTTAATGAAGCAGTTTTGGTGTATAGAACATGCCCCTGCAGCCTCACTGCTCAATCCTCTGCCATTTAGGAGTTAAATCCCTTTGTTTATGAACCCTAGTCACACCTCCCTGCATGTGACTTGCACAGCCTTCCATAAACACTTCCTGTAAAGAGAGCCCTATTTAGGCTTTCTTTATTGCAAGTTCTGTTTAATTAAGATTTTCTTATCCCCTGCTATGTTAATAGCCTGAAAGAGCCTCCTGTGATTAAAGTTCAATTTAGAGACTGAGATACAATTATTTAAGGTAAATTACATCTGTTTGAAAGTGAAACCAGTTTTTTTTTCATGCAGGCTCTGTCAATCATAGCCAGGGGAGGTGTGGCTAGGGCTGCATATACAGAAACAAAGTGATTTAACTCCTAAATGTCAGTGAATTGAGCAGTGAAATTGCAGGGGAATGATCTATACACTAAAACTGCTTTATTTAGCTAAAGTAATTTAGGTGAATATAGTGTTCCTTTAACTCTTTACTGACACTTTTGTTTCCAAATTATGGGTCCAATTTTCTGAAGCTGATTTCCTATTGTAGAACCTTAAGTTAAAAGTAGAATGTGCGATTTTCCAAATCCTAAAACAAATGTCATATCCTAATTATTGCCCTTCTGACTTCTATTTCGTATTTGTTATAACATTCCACACATGGAAGATCTTCATTACCACAGTATTTTGGGCACAAATTAGTTTTGTTGACCTATCACATCTATAGTTTTTAGATTATTATTATTATTTTTTAATGTATTTATCTTTTTTGAAAGTTTAGTTTGTTTTTGCAAATGTTCAGACAAAATAGCTGAATGTGGAAAATATCCTTTATTTCTCTGAAATTGTGATTTAAAGTGATATATGTCTGACTCATTTCAACAGTTTTGGCAAATTGTTTAGCTTTAGTAGTTCCGTACAAGAATTTGCAGTATGTTTGAAGACGGTTTTGATTACCATAACGTTATTGGATTTTCATAGGGTAAGTGGGGAGGAAATCATTTACTTCATATTTTGCATTCTCTTATGAGCAGTGAGAGAATTTAATCTTGCTTAATTGTGTATAAATATTTTGGCAGGCTCTTATTACATATTTTAGATCAGACCTTAAGACAGTTGAAGAGTTGAACTTCTTTAGACGGGTACACGAACCAGAGAACTTTTGTTGGGCATGAAACACCACCTGGTGCAAAACTTGGGTTGAGACACCATAAAATACTGTCTCTACTGTTTTCCAAAATGATATTCTGAAACACAGCTGTATTTATATGTTGTAGCTTAGTTCATATATATGAACACTGGTTCATTGCTTAATGAACATAAACAAACCCCTCACAGCCTGTCTTTTGAACCTGTGAGCTACATACATGGTCTATCAATTATTATCTTAATGTACTAGCGTAGCCACCACAGTGTCTCTTGTCAATCTCTATGCCTTACCTTTGATTACATTGATTAAGAAAATTGTATACAGCATTCCAAACATGATCTTTTTTGAGGAGACCATCCCTTTTTTTTTCTACTGGAGTCTCAGGAGATCTTTATGAGGGTTCCAGATCATGCTTCTTAGCATGGTTATTCTATCCTCACTCTTCTTCCGTTATCAAACAAGTTACTGGAAGCAACCATATTGAGATACAATGGGCTCCTCATACTTCAAATCCACTTGCACAGTTTAATGGTCTCAATTTTAAAGGGACAGTCTAAGCATCAAAATCTCTTTCTATAATGCATGGATTAGTCATAGGTTATTGCATAGATGATTCTCCGCATTTAAAAAAATAAATAAAAATGTTCTGTTTCCGAAAAACAGCACTGGCCTTTCTTTATGAAAGCACAAGGTCTCTAATGATGGTCACTCAGTTAGCCTTTAGGGGTTTCATGTTAAATAGATTTAATACCTGAATCTATTTTCCGTCTGTCGTCCGCATCCACAGTATACTGATGCTGGGTGTTTATGCAGTGCTTCTGTCTTGATTACTTTAGCTAGAGGGGATCGGGCTGCAGTTAGCAGTCTGTTTCAGTGTTGGATTACCCATACGCTTTTGGTAATTTGTAAACATTTGGGAACAGAAAAAAAAAAAACATCATATATAATGGATAAAGAAAATATGCAAAACCACCTAAATTAACATTAAGAAAACTATGGCCCTTTTAAAATTTACAGGCAGTGCATTTCCTGACCACTAGTCAACTATATATTCCTTAAAGGAAGATTTTAACCTTAAAAAGAAATACAGATGTGTGGTTTTTGTTTAGATCACGAGTCTCTCCTTGCTTTAAAACAAAATAAAGAAATAAATAATAAAAACAAGTAGCATCAAGTAACAAAACTTACACGGAATCCAACATCGAGACAGTCTTTTTGCTGCTGCCTGATCTGACCACAGTGAGATCATCAGTCCACATGATTTCTGATCCTGTCCAATGATTCTCATAGAGAAGCATAGGGGACCTAAAGAGCATGCACATCATTCTCTGTAATCTGCCAGTCCAGTGGTTAACCTAGAGAAACGTTGGGCTCTATCACTCTGGGCGTGATGATGCCAAATGCCAAGACCTTTGAAAATGGAAGGTTTTAAAGAGGGAACACCTGCTGTAGCTGTCTTTCTCATTGCTACTATTGACATGTTTTCATCCAAATGTATTCATTAAAAAAGGTTTAAATTTGAGGAGCTTTCCCTTTAAGAAAATGTTAAATTATGTAATATATCTTTAAATGTTTATACAAACCCGTGCTGCTATCCTCCAGTCCTCCCCTGTACAAAAGACTAAAGAGTTCAATATTTTGAAAGTAAGTTAGCGCACCAATGCGTTGGAATTTTTTTTATCTAAAACTTAATAAAACTATGTTTCAAATACTTTACCTTGTGTAACTATTTGTATCCTTTAGTAGTTACACTAGAAAGTTATAGATACAATGTGATCTGCATCCCCATTTCGCTTTCTAAAGTCTCCTTACCCCCTCAGATATTAGTACTATCCGTTTATATTAGAGGTACCCACCTATCTATTGATTCATTTAAGGTTCTATAATTAATACCACGAATATGAAATTTTAATTCTTTGGAGGTTCTCCTTTATGGAGTGGGGACCACCCACATTAATGTGAGTGGTCATTTCTACTCCATTCCACTATTTATTTCTCTCATTATTTAGGGTACAAGCCCTTGAGTTCCTCCGTAACCTGCTAGGGGGCATCAGTGCTCACTAGTTTAACACTGTAGCCTCTCCCTCTTTTATACTTAATAAAACTTATGTGAGAAAGTCACTCCGCAAAAATATAGATCATGCAAGTAAATCTGATATTGTCCTGATACCTATCAGAATTATATGTGTAGATACCTTTTTTAAAGTTTTATTAAAGGGATCCTATAGTGCCAGGAAAACAAACCTGTTTGTCTTGGAGAGCCCCCCTCTCTCGGCGCTGATGGGATTAAAACCCCTTCAGCCACTTACTTTAATCTAGCGCGCAGGGCTCCCTCGGTGCTGGTGTTCTCTCCTCCCCAGTCGATGTCAGCTCCCGAGTGGAGCAGCATGCACGGCCTGAAGCGCCCACGCATTCAAACCCGCCCAAAGGAAAGCATTACTCAATGCTTTCCTATGGGGATCTTATCTCCGTGTAAATCGCAAAAGCAGACTCTAGTGGCTGTCAGGGATACAGCCACTGGAGGCTGGATTAATCCTGCAGTGTAAACAGCAGTTTTTCTGAAACTGCTATGTTTCCAGCTGCAGGGTTAAAACTAGGGGGCACTGGCTCAGAGACCACTAAATTGAGCTCAAGTGGTCCGGGTGCCTATAGTGGTCAGTTCCTCCCCCCGCCCCCATATTGGTGCGCTAACTCACTTTTAAAATGTATTCATTGGTGTTTCTCAGAGAAAAGGGATATGCTCTTAGCACCAAAACAATTTAATTATGTCCTAAACATGCAACATATAGATATTTTATTTTATTAAAGCTTTGTGTGCTATGGGATAATTGAACATGCTTTAAAAGTTGTTGTTCCACAGGGATTCATCTGTCCGGTGTGTATGGATGTGTTTGTCACTGACGATAAGCTCGCTGGACATTACAAGAGTGAGCATTCGGAGTCAGGAGCAAAGGGACAACAGCCAGCTGGTGACTCTGGTGATGCGACTGTGGGTCCATTATTTCACTTGTATCTGAATGGATTTGCTTTTTCTTGCTTTGGGAAAAAGGGGCTTTTATTCTGTTCTCTTTAATTCCCAATTTATGGAAATGGCGCCCATAGTAAAGTTACCCATGATTTCTAGGGGAAAAAAAGCATATGCTTGTTTTGATTTATCTTGTTACCTTTTTATTTAATTTGTTGTTTTTAAGCTTGGCTGCACAATAATGCATAGTAATTACTGTTTCCCCTCCAGATTAGAGGCAGTGCACAGCAATTGGGGATACCCTCTGTCTGAACAAAAAAAGGCAGACAGGGACCTACAAATTTCAAAGTTGAGCTCCTAATACTCTTCTTCTCTAAGTTATAAAACCGTAATCTGCCTGAATGTACCCAGTGACCTGCCTGCCTTTTGCAGAATAAGATAGGCTCTCACGTGCCTTGCCGGATGTGGCAATGGGGCCACATCACCACAAGAAAATGCACTTGTTGGGAGGTCCAGGCAGTGGAATACACGCACAGGTATTCAAGACCATTTTTAATCCAGAAGTGAGAACCCTGCCAGGATTTGTGAAAATCTTCAAATTACCGGGAACTCAAAGTGATTCGATTGGCTCTTCTGCATTTCAGATCCCATTTCCAGTTATATCATGTTCAGATGAGAACAAACAATTCTACAGCAGGAAGGGACTTGTTTTCACTCCCTGGAAAACTTGTGCTCCAAAAAAATGCTTTGGTTAGAACTCCACCTGCCCTCCCGGTGTTCAGTACACATAAAAGGCTAAACAATGAAGCAGACGCTTTAAGCAGAAATTATTGGAAGAAAGGAGAGTGGTCTCTCTCACATCAGACATTTCAGGAAATTGTAGTGAGATTCAGAAATCTTTATATAGATCTGATGTTGTCAAGGTTGAACAGAAAAACTAGAAGGGTTGTCTCGATCAACTCATCAAAAAATCTAGACTTTATAGATGCCCTTTCAACTGCCTCATGTTTTTTCCCCCAAGTTGTGCTTATTCAAAGAATTTTACAAAAGTTTATATTAGACAAAGCAAGAATTATTGCATTTCTCCACTTCTGGCCCTGAAGAAGCTTGTTTTCAATGCTAGTAAATCTGTCAAAGGTAGACTACTGACATCTTCTGATGTCAGTCAAAATCTTGGAACAAAACCTAGTTCCTCGGCAGACTCTCAAGACCTTCAAGATCTGAATGCCAGATCTTAATTTCCAGAGGTCTAAGCCCAGAAGTCATAGACATTTTTGTTGCTGCCAAAAATGATTACACATGTATTGTGTACTCCAGAACCTGGAAAGAAATTTTCATCCAAGTGCCCTGAGATTCACGAAGATCCACTTTCAATTCCAAATATCCAGAAATTTCTTAAATTGGACTTTCAGAAAGGTTTACAACCAGAATCTCTAAACATCTCCAGGTTCTTCAGAGCAGTATCCAGGTTTCTTCTTTCTTTATCAGAGAACTGGTACCTCACTAGGATCTTAATTTGGTCCTTTCAGCACTATGTGAAGTTCCACATGGAAGACAGAAGTCTTAACGTTCTTACATGATACACTGTATTTTTGGTAGTCATGACATCTGCTAAAAGACTAGGAGATCTTCAAGCTTTAGCATTTGCTCTGTTTTTCATATGGATAAATTTATCCTCAAGCTACACCCTTCATTTCTTTGTAAGCTTTCTTCAACAACCAATATGCACCAAGAAATCATTCTAGCAGAATTTTGTCAGAACCTCTAAGTAGCAGATGTTTCATGCCTCGATTTCAAATGGTTACATGGTTATTTGGAAAAAAAAACAGGCCTTTACATCTTTCAGACAGGTTGTTTTTGATGTATCAGACGCAAAAGAAAGGTCTCATAAAAGTAAAATGCCATTAGACCTCCAAAAGTAAGCACTATAAATTAGACGTGTAGGCTAATACTGAAAATATAGAGAATACTTTTTCTGGGTGCAAGGTACTACAGGCTGGTGTGAAATGATGTCTTCCTGCTCTTATGGGATTGCTTGTCTATCCCCAGTTGTTGTGCACTGCCTCTAATCTGGAGGGAAAAGATTAAATTTAACTTTAGGATTAAAATTTAATCTTTAGGATTAGAGGCAGTGTACGTATATCCCTCCCTATTTAATAAATTAATTTTTGAAGTTAATTGGCTTTTGTATTTTCTGGGAACATTTAGGCAGATTACTGTTTTATAATTTAGAGAGGAGGTCTATTAGGAGGGACTTACCTTTTACACTTCTAGGTTTTTCCTGTCCAGACAGACGATATCCTGTTCTTGTGCACTGCCTCTAATCCGAAGGAAAGATTATTTTACATTAAGTATAATTTGATCTTTTCATGTTTTCTATTGCTTTGTGGATTCATTTTTTTTTGTTACTTGTCAGCTAATTTTCTTATGTCTTTGCATGTTGCGTAGACCATGTCTGCAGATAAATATATATTTTTCCACTCTGTGTGCACAATATTAATCTGACCTTTACATATGTACCGATATGCGTTTTTGAACGTTATATCTTTAATGTTTATTTAAATGCTAGAAAAATGTATTGTTTTTTTTTTTGCGAAATGAAAATTGTTCCAATTTAATGTAACTAGAAAGCATAGAACTGAAAATGTTGTATAACCTAAAGCACTTTACAAGCAAAAGGTTACAGCTACAGTTGCCCGTGAGGAAAAAAACCTTGCCATTTTGTATAGCTTTATAACTTCTCCCTTGTATTTGAGAGGGTACTGTTTCCTGTCTACATGGATGCACGTTTTCCATCAGTCGCTTTTCTGAGTGACACTCACAGGACAAGTGGGGTGAGCGTCTGTTCTTGTGGTGAACGTCTGCTTGAGGGGCAGATGAGTTTGCTACCCTGGTCACCACCACTAGTTGGGACATTGTAAACAGAAGTCATAACTAAATTGTAATGTTTTTTCAATTCGACTGTTTTGGCCTAAGAATTGTGACATTTAGTGTGAATTCACTGTAAGTGCATGGTAATTCACACTTTAGTGTGTGTGTTTGTCTGCTTGACTTTTCCATCTATTTGGGTGTCTTTGAAGCAGAAATTCAAAAGAAATGATTGATCATTCTCCACTGTAACTTTTGGAGACCATAATCGTGCCTGTGCATTATAAATGGGGATATTCTGACCGGTTACCATCATAATACTTACATTTCTTTCTTTCTTTCTTTCTTTTTTAAATGTGCTTTCAATGTATTTTTGTTAAATGAAAGCAGCCACGACCCCAGTATAGTGATAATCTTATACATCTATGAGAAAAACTTTATGAGCATTAAAAGTAGGTGACCATGGCCAGATATCCTATATCAATTTGAGGGAATCCAAGAAGCTCACATTGAAGGAGACCTTACTTGCCATGGAGTTTCTAAGCAGATGCACCAGCTTGTACACCATAGGTTCATGAGCTGAAGACCAGGCTTTGGTGTGCCACATTAAAGACGTAACAGCCTCAATTCATGTGATTGACTTAACAGAGCTCATATTTCACTAGACCTGTTAGTTTGTACACTGAGGAAAGGTCAGATTTATACAGATTTGAGCCTGTTTGAGTATGTGTTCAATAAAAATAACTTCGCTATTGATTGGCAAACCCTTCATGTAAATTGGACACTGCATGAATATGATATGTTTTGTGGAACTAGATCCGTCCTATGATATATATATATATATATATATTTTTTTAATTTAAAAAAAATACTCCAGGATATATTCTATTTATAACAAACATTTCTCTAAATTTACCCAACGTTTTAGATATGTTTTAACGCTCCACCTCCCTCGAAATTCTGCATTTAACTTTAGTAGTTGATGCTTTTTATGAGCCAGAATACTAAATATTTTAGAAACCCATAATGCTTGACAGTAAAGAAGCCAGGCATTGCCGTCCCCATAGTACACAGACGTTTTGGCACCATGTTCCGTTTTTAGTAAGTGCACATGATCTCACTGTGCCAAATCTGACTATGGCAATGCTTATGTTTACCTACAGGATGTTTAAATTTTTCACAATATTTTATACTTTCAATGTCGGACAATATGAAACTTTATAATCCATCTCAAACCCAGTGTACCTGAGTGACATCACTGCTTGATGTGTGCAGTCCTTTTAAAATGGTGTATTAATAATTCAAACGTTTGACTTTAGTGCTGCAGTATTCCCTTGCTTTTACCTTGAGTTACTGAACCATAGTTTATCTCTGCATTACAAATGGGTCTTTCTGGAAGATCCAGCAATGAATGTGGATATTGAAAAATTCCTCGCTTGGATCTTCATGTCTGTGCCTTAAAGGACCACTATAGTGCCAGGAAAACATACTCGTTTTCCTGGCACTATACTTCCCTGAGGGTGCCCCCACCCTCAGGGTCCCCCTCCCACCCGGCTCTGGAAGGAGGAAAGGGTTTAAAACTTACCTTTTTCCAGTGCTGGGTGGGGAGCTCTCTGCCTCCGATCCTCCCCGTCGGCTGAATGCGCACGCGCGGCAGGAGCTGCGCACGCATTCAGCTGGTCGCATAGGAAAGCATTATCAATGCTTTCCTATGGACGCTTGCGTGCTCTCACTGTGATTTTCACAGTGAGAATCACGCAAGTGCCTCTAGCGGCTGTCAATGAGACAGCCACTATAGGCTTTGGGGGAAGGCTTAACCCATTCATAAACATAGCAGTTTCTCTGAAACTGCTATGTTTATAAAATAATGGGTTAAGCCTAGCTGGACCTGGCACCCAGACCACTTCATTAAGCTGAAGTGGTCTGGGTGCCTAGAGTGGTCCTTTAAGTTAAGTGTACAGTGAATACCATTTAAAAGAAACCCATCTTCTTAAATCACTGAAGTTTTTATAAATGCTACCTGTCTGTGGAGTTGTTTTCAGTAAAAACAAATGTCTGGTGCAGATCTGTTCCATTTAACACAATATTTCTGCCTGCTGTGACAATAACATTTTGCAAAGCCTATCTCCTCGAATTTTTGCATACAGCAGTTATTATGCAACCATTAAAAGTCTTGATTTTGGTACAGCATCAATTTACTATCATTAACGTCTAATGGAGTTTGCAGTTGAATTTTAGATCCAGTAGGAACGTTTTATTTTATTTGTATAGCCTTTCATTTGTCCTCTGGCATTGATCCCTGGAATATTACTAAGTAGGTTTTAGGCATAAACACCTTAATTTGGTTTCCAAGATCCTAATGCAGTATCATAGCAATAATGTGTTTTATATGGATTCATTCTGTGAATAATTTACTGTTCATGACCATATAATTCATTCTAATTTGATACCCAGTCAAGCTTTATAAGCGCTCAATGCTTGGTTTATCGGTTGTATTGAGTGTAATCCTATTATATGAAAGTGTATAGTTAGATAATTATGAACTTAGAGTTATATAAGTTGATATAAAATGCTGTATGCTGGCATTCTCAAAGTAGATATATGTTAGGGGTACCGATTGTTGAGATAGTAAATATATATATATATATTAATACACATTTTTTTTAGCAGTGGGAATTTATGAATGTATGAACAAGGCAGAATAACAGTGTATTCCAATGAGCCTAACGTTTGGCAAAGTATCATGGCAGGCCAACTTCTATAATACAGAATGGGAGAGTTAGCAGCGGCTTATGAATATCCTTGGTTAGGATCCAAACAAATTAAATTCCCTACAATATCCACTCACAACCAAAAAGAAGAAACTCTGGTCTGGGTTGTTCTAGCTGCTTACCCATACCCAACAAGTGCTAGAAATCCTATTCACTACACCATTTCAACTTCTATAATAGGTGATGGTCAGCTTAGCACAAGCCAGCTACCACCTTGTAGAGGTTAATCCCTGGGTTTGGCAGCTACAGCTAGATTCTATAGATGGTGTATGCGCATGGGCAACCATCCCTATGGGGATTTCACCAACGCTGGATATCCTCATGAAGTGGATAAGGATGATCAGCTTCATTTAGACGACCTGGAGGTCATTAAGATCCAGGAAGGGCCTCTAGTGGCTTTCTGATAGACAGCCACTAGATGCAGTCTTAGTCCTGCAAGGTAATTTACATTGCAGGACTAAGTGGGACAGGGGAATTACTCACAGACCACTTCAATAAGCTGAAGTGGTCTGGGTGACTATAGTGACTCTTTAAATGCTTTCTTTTGATTTTATGTGATTTGTAGGATGATTAATTAGTATTTATTCAGTCTTAATATGTTTTTAATCCAAAATTAATATTTAAAACGATACTCCATGCGCTATAACCACCTCAGCTTTGAAAATTTCACTTTGAAATTTTTAAAACTTTTATTTATTTATTTTTGTCTTGCTTGCATTTTTGAAGCAAAAACTATTCCCTCTAGCTAGTAACTTAATACAAAGAGAAGCTTCTCCCTGCTCATTTAACTATAAAGCACGCATTGTCACACCAAGCAATCAAGATGCTAACTAACTGGAACTGTGACTCGGTTGCATAACAGAGTGTGCTCTCCATACTGCCTGAAGGAATTGTTTTTGCATAAAAAGCCATACACGAGCTGTAGTGGGTTATTTTGCTAAGAGTTTTTTTGTGCCATCCCCGATTTAATATCATCATTGCGAAGAAATCCCTATTTATTCCCCTTAGTTCACCTTTATTCATTCGGTAGATCTAACTACCGAACAAAGACCACCCTCCTGGCTCATTCATCTTCAAAGCATTCGTCAATTAACCCCTCTATCTGTGCGGCCAGCGTTTGTACTACCGAACGCCACGTGGCTGAGAAAACCGCGGCCATCTTTTTTCAGCCGAACAAAGGCAGCGGGACTTGGTCGTCGAGTGTCTGGAACTAAAATCGGAACACCGGTCTCCAACAGACTAACGCTTGAACTATATTTCCCGACTAGCTAGAAGAGCGCTATTCGGTACTTTTGTGCATTCGACAGAGGGGAACAATCGCTGCTGAGAGCCAGGGGGATCCATTCGGTACTTTATTCATTTTTTCCCCTTTACTGAAGTGAACGGCAAAACCACCCAAACTCATGGAACTATTTTGGGCAGCCGAACCACGGTTAGCCGGTCACAGAAGACGTCCACCTTTTTTGAGAACCCCTGAACCGATCTGGGTGAAATTTGAATATGTTGGTAACCCAGATCGGGGCTATCAGGGGACATATTATTCGTGGGGATACCTCATGTATAAAGGGGTGTTCCAGATATTGGGGAAAATTGTGATTTTTCTGCCTGGAGATAATCAAGTTATTACTTTATCAGACTTGATTATCTCCAGGACTAGGGGAGGGAATTGTATGTGTGTACTGGGTGTGTTTTATGTTTTTACTTTAACGGATTGGTTAAACTCTGTCCCTCCCTGTGGGATGTCCACTTGCATGGGGACTTGCATAAAAGCCTGTGTGTAATCATTAAAGCTCAGTTCAGTTGTACCCTTCTTCTTGACTTCGGCTGATGTTTGGGGATTCGTGTGCTTTATTAAGGGAATTATCTTATGAAGCTTTTTGGATTACTATACAGTTCGTCTATTTCATCTACCGAACGGAGAGCTATATTCACTGGTGCTCTGGCGGTTCGGGAGGAAACTACCGAATGAGGATTACATATACCAGGTTTCCTTACAATCATGTTGAGGAATAGTTTGACATAATTTAGAGCTCTTCTTTGCACCCAGAATCTGCTCCCTTCTCAGTCCCAATGATAAATCAGCCTTTACCCATCCCCAGCACTCTCTGCCAATTAGTGCCCTCCAAGTTTGACACAGTTGACTTTGATAATGCAAAGTTATCAGTCCAATCCTAGAAGAACACTCCTCAACTTTCTGAAAGGATTTTATATGTGAACTGCGTATTCCCAATGTTTTATATTGTAGAAATGCTTATTTCAAAGAAATCACTCCGCACTTTATCAATTCTAAGTTGCATGGGAGGTTGTTAACTTACTCTTGTTAAATGTGTGCTCTTAACGGATGTGAGTTTCTCATGAAGGAGAATTTGCATTCTATTGTTGGAATGTGATTATGCTAATGTCACCCAGATATAGCTCTCTTCCCTTGATCTCTTCCCCATTACGTGTCACCGCTTGCCTTTCTTCCACCTTTGACTTTCTGAAACTCAATCTCTCTAAAACCGAGCTTCTTATTTTTCCTCCTTGTAATGCTGATTCTCCTCTCTCGCTCTCACTGCTGGTTGGTGGTAATCGCTTCAGGCAGTCTACGCTCATTTAAGAATTCTCTCAAAATCCATCTTTTCATAAAAGCTTATTACCTCCCAGAGTAACTTCTATTTTACAAACCTGTCTCTTTCTCTCTCCTAAAGGGCCACATTCCTATCTTACCTCAAGTTCTTCTACTTTCCCACCTTGTTTGTTTGCTGTCCCCTCGATACACTTCCTATTGTATTTTTATACCGCAGCTTCTCTAAACTGTAAGCTTGTTTGATCAGGGTCTTCATCAACCTATTCTTCCTGTGACAGTTTGTAGTTGTCTCATTTATTGTTAATTGTCCCCCTTTTTATAATGTAAAGAGCTGCTGAATAATTTGCCGCTAAATAAATACCAATAATAAGATAAATTGCATATATCTTGTAAGAACTGATGTTTCTTGGGGGGGCATAGCGCAGTTGCGGTGAGTATAACCTTTCACCTCTGGGTTAAAGCTGATGGCAACTCTAAATATAAACAAAATACAGAATAATTACCATGACAAAAATGTATATAGTGCCAACCTATTCTGCAGCTCTGTGCAATAGATAAACCAAGACAAATAATTATAATAATACACGATTGACATACGAGAAGAGTAGATGAAGAGGGCCTAACCAAACAAACTTGCAAACTTAAAGAGTAACTATAAATGTACCCATCACTAATTCACACTAAATGCCCCCCTACCCCAGGCATTTTTGTCAATACTAATTGTATTATTTGTGATCCCACGAGTACACATTTATTTGCTAATACATATTGCATTGCTATATTGGCTCAGATGGTGATCGTCACTTATCTATATTTTGTTGTCCACGCATTTGCTGGTAACTTATTCTATTCATCAGAATACATTTAAAATGTCCATTTATTTGCCTGAACCTGGGTTCGTCACCCACAAGTACAAAGCGAATGTTCATGATACTTGTTTCTTTTTGTTTTGTGTTTTTGACGTACAATGTTAAGCATTTCATGTTTTTTTTTTTTTTGTATGATGTAATCCTTAAATTTTCGAAGGGTGATGGGTATATTCTCTTTCTCCTGCTTTCTATCTGTAAGTTGAATTTGTTTTCTGTTGACTTTCATTATATGTATATATACTTTGTCACCAAACTCAGTATTTATTTATTTAACCTCCTCCTTTAGGGCTTCATCTGTCCCCTGTGTATGAAATCCCACGCAACGGCTGAAGAACTTTTCCTACACTATCAAGCTTCTCATGAGCCAAGCAATGACCCTGCACATGGAGGAGAAGACCACGTATCTCCAAAAAGGTGAGGAGCAGTTTAAATTGTATAATACTGGGTGGGGAAAGCCTAGCTTCCAGGCTGATCAGACGTGCAGAAACCAAGCTCCTGACCAAAATTGCCTTTCTGGGGGAAAAACACCCCAAAAATCAAGCACATCCATTGCCTGGAGAAAAACATTCAAGGAGGGGAAACCCTTTGACACCCGACTCATGCATGTCACAAACCAGGTACCCTGCTAACCTCCCAACTCTAACCTCCTCCTCCCCCCCTGGACCAGTGAGGGATTTCCCGGTCCACACAGGGTGCCTGAAACACACAAAGCTAAAGCCAAGAGGCCGTTGCAGGAAAACTTGGTGAGCCACGTGGTACCTCAAGATGGCCGCCGCATCGCAATCACAGCGCAGCCCAGCAAACCAGACAGACCTGGAGGGAGGTCTTCGAAGCCCGGTTTAACGCTATCTATCAAGCCTTGTGGGACCGCATTGCACAACGTGAACCCCTGCCTACCCCTCCCAAGATGGGACCTACCTGCCAACCAGCAGCGGACACCTGTCCATCTTCTGGGCTGGGAGCCCAACTGGAGGAATCTCCAGGCTGCAGTCCAACTACCCGCAGGGATGACCGCAAGCCGGAAATACCGGGGACCCACGATTCTGCCTCACGACGGAGGAGGATCCATGGACAGAGGGCGCCAGCTCCCTTAACAGCCCAGAGACGAAGGGACAGGGGACCTGTCACACAGCGCCTGCACGATGAGCAGGGCAACCCACGCTCCCACACATCGGAGAGGAGCACTGCTAAAGCTGACCGGGAACCAGACTCTCCACGGCGGCATGCAAAAGGCATTGGCTGGGGATGGCTAAGCACACACTCACCAGCCCATCTCCTGAAGACCATCAACGGCCTGGACTCTGACAACTCTAGTGTGGACACTGTTACCTTGAGTAAAGTATAGCATACACATGCTCACCCACACTTTTGATGGAGAGAATAACCTCTCACTGTAGCTTTGGCTTTAGATGTAATATTATTGTTTATGCTGACGCCCAACCAGCTTGAGCTAAATGTCTGATTATCACTACTCTACTCTATATAACACTAAGCTGCATACAACATGAATAATCTTATATACTCATCATTAAAATGTGCATGTATCATCACACCCCCCACTGTTATAACTGTTTTAAAACTAAAGCATGAGGATTGCCTTTGGGGTACCCCGTGCATGTTGTATTTTCATATGCACAGCAAAAATAATTTAAAAAAAAAAATAATATAAAATCGTATAATACTGGAGAAGTTATCTTATATTTCTATGGTCAGAGAAGTATTATGATCTCACAGCTCCGTAGGCAGGTTACTAGTTTGGGTCCCCATTTTATTCTTCACATAGGAATGGTTAAGCAACTTCATGGATTCTGAGTCTTTGTCTAACTACTGGGACCTTGGCAGCTGCCTAGTGTCACCTAGGTTAATCCTGTTTCATCTATGGTTATGTTTTTTTCTGTGCTCTCAAGGATACAATCACTTTTTAGTTTGTTTAAAATTTGTTGCCTAAAATTCAGGAAAGAAATGCCCATTTTGCACAATTTGTGCTTACAGTAGGGCTTAATGCAATTGATATGAACACATTACTGTAAACTGGTATTTTCCTGTCGTAAGTGGCAGTACTGCAAACAAGTGGGTAGTCACCTCCTTAAGTGGAGAAGAAGCTATATAATACTCTTCCAGACAGATGTAAAAAGAAAACTTGCCACCAGTGTTTTGCTGAATTCCGGGAAAAATCAAAGCATCAAGAGATGCAATCATTTTTAAGTTGGTTCCAGGACAACTTATCACAGACTTTCAAATCCTTTAAAGACACGGTGAAGAAAGATAGTGGGTCTGTTAAACGACATGAGCCACACGATAAAAAACGTAAAAGGCTGAAGTCTTCATCACATTCAGACGTCTCTTTGGGAGAATGTTCCAGCTCTTCTTTATCAGTAGTCTCTAGCTTAGACTCCAGTGTGGACCAAAGGTTTCCAGCAGAGGAATTAAAGAGATTTATTGAGGAAGTGTCTGCTGTGTTTCAGGGTGTGGAACCCTCAAGCAGTAAGGTTGAAAGGCTTCCCCACACATCCCAGAGTTCTGGAATTTGCTTCAGAGAGAATGGAAAAAGCCAGAGAGACAAGCTTTTATTTCAAAGCATTTTAAACAGATCTTCAGGCTACAGACTGAAGATACGTGGTAAGATATCCCTAAAGTGGATATACAGGTGGTATAGTTGTCCAAGAAAACAACTATTCCAATAGGAGAAGTTTCGGGTCTAAAAGAACCCATGGACAAGCGTGCGGAGACATCCTGTATTCGGGCATACCAGGCTGCAGGCTACCAATGCAAATCTGCTATTGCAATGGCAGCGGTGATTAAGGCCAAAAATTTCTGGCCCCTGTCCTTAGAACATATGATTATGGATAATACAAATAAGGACCTGTCTCATTTATTCGACCCCATGCGGTTATCAAATGACTTCTTGCTGGATTGCTGACGAGATGTTAAAGCTGTCAGCCCGCACCATGGATTTATCTTCGGTAGCCCGCAAGGCTTTATGGCTGAGAACAAAAAAAATTATTTGGTTCTCCACTGGAAGAGATCATAAAGCAGATTGCGGACACTAAAAAAGCTCTCCCACAAGAGCACAGGGTGTCTGGGGACAACAGATACAGAAGGTTTCGAAACCGAGGTCAGAGGCCTTTTCATGGCCAAGACAACTACAGAAAAGTTCGTAGACCTTTCAGACATGTCAAAAGAGAGACCTTTAACAAACAAGATAAGAAAAAGAGATATAGACGCCAGAAGAGTAGGGGGTTGACTCAAATTCTTTGTTCCACAATGGCAAGAAACAACTTCAAATCAGTGGATATTGAAGACAATAGCAGAGGGTTACAGGATAAAATTCTCCAAAGACCCTGGCCCGGAATTTCTGGTATCAACTTACCAAATAAGAGAAAAGTTAGCAGCTCTTCTATCAGCAGCCTTGACCCTGTTAAAGAAAGCTGTTATAGAAAAGGTACCAAAATGTCAAAAGTTCCAGGGAGTGTACTCTCGCCTTTTCCTGGTCCAAAACCCAGGCAAGACTTTCTGGCCTATTCTGGACCTAAAGAGGACCAATGCCTGTATACCTTACTAGAGGTTTCATATGGAAAGCATTTTATCCGTCACACACATTCTGCAGTGAAAGGATTACATGACAAAGCTAGACGTAAGGGATGCTTATCTCCATCTGCCGATGTCAGTGTCTTCAAGGAGATATCTCAGGTTTGCAGTAAAAGCTGGAAAAGGAAAACTTCTACATTTCCAGTTCAAGGCACTACCTTTCGGCCTCTCATCAGCCCCATGTGTCTTCACAAAGCTCCTTCTTCCATTAACGGAAGCACTAAGACTGAGAGGCATCGCCATCGTCCCTTACCTGGTTCCTAAAAGCAGATTTATTAGAACACCTATGCAGGTGACCATTCAGTTCTTGAAAAACCATGGATGGATGGATAATCAATTACGAGAAATCTGAAATGTGTTGTTCCACACACATTCAGTTTCTAGGTCTTTGGGTGGATTCAAGACTCCTTTCCATTGCCCTACCAGTAGTGAAACTAAAAAGAATCCGGAAGGAAGTTATCATTCTCCAGAGAAGAGTCTGCTGCTCCATAAGAAAGGCTATGAGCATTTTAGGCATTCTTTCCTCTACCATTCCGCCTGTGAAATGGGCAAGGTCAGAAATCAGACCCTTACAGTGGAACATCCTTTCCAAATGGTCGAAAAGAGAGGAAGATTTAGATTCAGCAATTAGTCTTTCATACAGGGTAAAGACACAGGTGAATTGGTGGAAAAAGTCAAGATTTTTGAAATCAGTCTATCCTTCCAACAGAGAAATTGGATTGTCATTACCACGGATGCATCTATAACAGGCTGGGGGGCACATCTAGGATCCCAATTTCAGGTGGGAAAATGGTCTAAGGAAGAATTTCAGAGAAATGAAAGCTGTTTGCAACACCCTTTTAGCTTTCAAACCAGTCATAAGCAAAAAGTCTGTGAGAATTCAGTCAGACAATGTCACAACTGTCACATACCTAAACTGACAGGGTACGAAGGTGTTTTCTCTCCAGACACTATGTTCAGAAATCATGGCTTGTTCTCAGGAAAATCTAGAATCAATCTCGGCAACGTACATCAAAGGATCCAACAATATAATCGCGGACGATGTAAGCCGACAGTGTTGGACAAAGTCAGAATGGTCTCTTCAACCACTCGTCTTTGCAAAGCTGGTCAAGCACATTACAAATCAGGCTACCTGATTTGGTCTACCAGATATTGATCCAATGGCCACAAGAAGAAATGCGAAGGTCCAAAAATTTGCTTCCATTCTGAGAGAAGATCATCCTTACGTCCTGGGCGGTATTTCAATACCATGGAAGTTCAGAATGGCGTATATTTTCCCTCCAGTAGCTTTGATTCCCCGCATTATGCAGAAAATAAGATCAGACAGAGCAAAAGATCATGGCAATTTTCACTTTTTGGCCAAACAGGAGCTGGTTTTCGGAGATCGATAGGATGGCAATAGCTTGTTGGGAACTCCCTTGTTCCAGCGTCCTTTTAGAGAACAAAGATCTTCTGGTGGAGACCATAAAGATGTTTCGACTAACGGCATGGTTGCTGCAAAGATGATCCTTAAAGACCAAGGCGTGTCTGATAGTATTAGTGATATTCTCCTGTCATCTACTCGCAGATCCACAAACAAGATTTACCTCAGGATCTGGCAGAAGTTCCTGTATTGGTGTTCACCAAAGTGTTTAATCCATGTATTCCATGCATCCATTTCCTGCTACGAGATTTGGCATACAACAGGCTCAATCGAAGTTTTTTTAAAGCTGTTTTTCTGAAACGTCCTCCAAGGCTTTCTTCTTTTCCCACATGGGATTTGTCAGTTGTTCTCAAGGCTATGTGCAGTCCTCCCTTTGAACCTTTGGATGCTATACCTTTGAAGATTTTATCCATGAAAACTGCATTTTTGGTGGAAGTTACCTCGGTTAGGAGGGTTGGAGAATTGCAAGCTCTATCAATTTCCTCTGAATTTACAGTATTCCACAAGATAAAGTGGTTTTGCACCCGAAACCTTCTTTTCTGCCTAACGTTCTCTCCAGATGAAACCTTAATGAACCTATCTACCTTCCTACTCCCTATTCTACCTTCCTACTCCCAAGCTCAATCATCTGACTCTGAAAAGAAATGGCACTGCCTGGATGTTAAGAGGGTGTTGAAAGCTTATCTCCTCCTCTCAGCTCATCATAGAAAATCAGAGCATCTGTTAATCAATTTGCAAGGTTCTTTTAAAGGCAATGAGGATTCTATACAAACTATCGCTAGATGGCTGATTGAATCTATCAAACTGGCTTATGAGGTCAGTAATCTCTCCCTTCCGTTCCCGATCAAGGCTCACTCTACCAGAGCGATGTCAACCTCATGGGCTTGAGCGATCTACGGCTTCACCAGAAGATATATGAAAAGCTGCAACTTGGTCTTCACTGCATACTTTTATAAAACATTACAGGCTGGATATGCTCTCTTCCTCGAAAGGTGCTCCAGGCAGTGGCCTATTGATTTCCGACCCATTGCTTTCGTTCAGGGATCTTGCTATATCCCACTTGTTTGCAGTCCTGCCACTTACGACAGGAAAAACAGTAATTTTACTTACCGTAAATTCTATTTTCCTTAGTAGAGTGGCAATACTGCATGTTTCCTTCCCATTGGAGAATAAATTAACTTTGCAGTTAATTGGTCTCAATATGGTTATTTGGATAACTGGGGATGTCTTGGAGGTATGCCCTTTTATAGGCAAGAAGGAGGGAATTAATTTAATTATTTTAATTTGCAGAGCTTCTTGTCCACTTAAATGACCACTATAGGCACCCAGACCACTTCAGCTCAATGAAGTGGTCTGGGTGCCAGGTCCATCTAGGGTTAACCCTGCAGCTGTAAACATAGCAGTTTCAGAGAAACTGCTATGTTTACTTACAAATGGGTTAATCCAGCCTCTAGTGGCTGTCTCATTGACAGCCGCTAGAGGTGCTTCCGTGCTTCTCACTGTGATTTTTCACAGTGAGAAGACGCCAGCGTCCATAGGAAAGCATTGAGAAATGGACTGACTGCGCATGCGGCTCTTGCTGCGGATGACGTCGGAAGAGGAAGGAGAGTTTCCCGTGCTGAGGGAGCCCGGCTCTGGAGAAAGGTAAGCGTTTAACCCCTTCTACACGGCGGGAGGAGGACCCAGAGGGTGGGGAGGACCCAAAGACCCTATAGAGCCAGGAAAACAAGTATGTTTTCCTGGCACTATAGTGGTCCTTTAAGGAAATGACTACTCACTTGTTTGCAGTACTGCCAATCTACTATGGAAAATAGAATTTACGGTTAGTAAAATTACTGTTTTTGTTTTATTTCAATTTGTTGTTTATATTCTAGAACTGACATTGCATGAATGTCTAGGCTAGTACAGCTACAGCATGCTGTAGGATTAATTTAACCACTGCAGGTATGAATTCCACAACACACACGTCCTCATTCTGCAAGTGCTGCACAGTTAAAGGAATACTCTTAAGCACCAAAACAAATTTTAGCTTCATGAAGTGGTTTTGGTGTATAGATCATGTTTCACGGGTCAATTCCCTGCCATTCAGGAGTTTAATAGCTGGTGTTTCTGTTTAATTCACACCTCCCCTGGCTGTAATTCACCTTTTAAGTTCAACACACTGTGCAATAAAGGAAGTTTAAAAATTTGATCTTTCTTTACAGCAAGTATGTATGGAGAAAGTGTAGGTCATATGCAGGGGAGGTGTGGCTACAGCTGATAGAAATCCTAAACAGCAGGGAATTAGGCATCAAGACTGCAAGTGTGTGCTCTATACATCAAAACCACATTATTACATTGTTTTGGTGCCTATAGTGTTGCATTCTTTATTTACCATGGGAGTATAACCACTGTTGTGAGCTAAGTTATTTTGCTTAGAGTGCTGCTTTAAAGTGTACTTGTCACGGTACGCACAAGATAGGATTAACTTAAATAGGAATACATTTCATCAATGCATCGTGCTAGCAAATGTATAGATTTAATATAAATTATGCCCTTCTCCCCCATCTGTTTATCAACTTTTGATATAGACTTCTCTATGTCAGTGCCAAAGAAGTCTATGACAAGAATTTGCTGTACAGGATAACAGGATATTCTAGTGGGAGTATCCCTCTCGTACAGCAGTGCATGGTGGGAGAAATGTTCTGTATGTTAAGTCCCCCATGTAGTCGCCTACTGTACAACCCCTGTAAAGTCAGTAAGGAAACCCCTTGCATGGGGAACCGCATAAATACTGGAGCTTGTGAATAAAATCGTCTGTTGACTCCCAGAACTGTGAGTTCGTCAGGTTACTGGGGGATTTGGGATATTGCCTTCATTTTCAGCGCTTTCCTTGGATTACCTTCTGTACCAGCAGAGATATTGGGATTTAAATATTGCAGCTCCGCTACAATATATATATATTTGTTTAATATTTGTATATTTGTTTAGTAAATGCTCTAGATATTGTGCTATAGAATAAATATATATGCAGCCTGATAAATTATATAGCACAATATCTATACATATCACGCAGACACCTGACCTTTTTACATTTGCCTTGTTCTATATTCCATGAGAATGCAGAGTAGAGGACTTACGGTCAATATCTACTCAAGTAAACAATAATTAACAATTCCCTTTTACAAATGGTTTCTCATGTGTTGTGGCCAGAACTTTATCATAGTGTTACATACAGAAATTGGAACATGATATATTTTGTCTTATTCTTTTATTTAATTCCAGAGATGAAGCCCTATTGCTTCGACAGGAAGTTCAAGACTTGCAGGCTTCTCTTAAGGTTAGAACTTTTGATTTGACCATAGATTTGTACCTCATTTGCACATTTCACTGCTTTAAATCACCATGGGAAAAGGAAAAAAAACATGTTTTATACTAAACCCATTATCCCTTTTATTTTGGTCATAGGAAGAGAAATGGTATGCAGAAGAGTTGAAGAAAGAGTTGGAAAGTGCTCAAGAGCAACTGAAGCAAGTAATTCCCTTAAAGTATTTAATATTGCTCTAAAGCAAAACAAAAAATTATTGAAACCACATTCTCGCCTGTACTCGTTTATTTCAGGTTTAATGGCTATTGACTTTGTTAAATAGTAGTGTCTGTTTTATCTTTAACTTTTATTGTCCTGTAATATGAAGAGATATTTAAAAAACATTTCCTTCACATTCTGTTAGACTGTTCTTTTGCTGCCAACATGATGAGAGATTGTTGGGGTCAATTCATGAAAGAAAGCACCCTACTCTTATCCCTTGTATCTTTCTGCCTCAGCCAGCATCCCCAGTTAATTCATTTTAGTTCCACCTGGTGTGAGGACAATTCTTTTTGACACCTCTTTTAATATGTAACTGCTCTCACCATTTGAAATCTAATTTGTCCGACTATTCAGATAATGTGATGAATTCTAGTCTTCAAAACCTAGCACAGAAGAGAAAAATTCGGGACTGAGCATATACTTTTTTTTTTTTTTTTTAAATCGCTGCTTTTAACGCACTTGATCTGCTGAATATATAAAAATACTGCTTCTAACACAGTTTTAAGCTGACATCAAGCAGTGAAGTCACCAGTGTGTGACTCCATCAGATCCACTGGGAGATGTACAGCCAAATAAAATGGCGCGTACTGTAATTTGAAAGGTAAAAAATGTTAATTTACCTATATACATCACTAGCATTGCTATTTAGGTCAGATTGGCAATGGTATGTCAAATTATCTTGAGAGAGAGAGAAATATTCATCGGAAGCTTGCGTTACATAACTTCTCTTTGTTTATCTATTATGCATTGGATGATTTAGCATTTCTTTCCACTCTAAACCCCCCACAGTTTCCTTGAAATACTTGTATTCTCTTTATACTTAAAAGAATGTAACCTGATATGGGATTGGCATGGCAGCTCTTTCAAGAGGCACTATAAGCACCAGAACCAGTGCAGCTTAATGTAGTTGTTCTGGTGTTTATAGCCTGTCCATGCAGGCTTTTTAATGTACACACTGCCTTTTCAGAAAAAAGGGCAGTGTTTGCATGGCTGCCTAAAATATCCTCCAGTGACAGTCACGAAGATGGCTACTAGAGCTGCTTCCTAGTTCAGTGCTGCAGTGTGTAGCACTGGCATTCAGCATCTCCACGCACTGCATGAAGACACTGAACATTCCCCATAGAGATGCATTGATTTATTGCATCTCTGTGAGGAGATGCTGATTGGTGCAGTGCAGCGTTTTGCTATGAATTCGCAATAGTCTCCCAATACTTTCCCGTGGAAAAGCATTGGAGTGGCTGGGATCATCAAGACCAGCGTGGTGTGGGAGAAAAGATGAGTGAAAACACCATTTCAGCACAATCAGAGTGGGGCTGTGGACCTAAACAGCCATACCAGGACTATAGCATTCTTTAAATGTTTGTGACACCCACCCACCCCTGATTGATATTAAATGAAGCTGTGATAGCAAAATGCTTGCAGATCCCATGAAGTATCAATCTTGCATGTGGACAGTGTTTCATTGTGTTTTCTTTTTTGTCTTTTGTCCATTAGGTATCTGTGCCAGATGGGATGACCACAGTTGCAGCTACAGGTGATTTGCATTCTGTGCTATCATTTGTCTTGTTTTTCAGCTATTTCATTACATTATAATGGGAAACAGATCATGGAAATGTTGGAATTCCTTAAGTTAATGGCATTGGCGAGCAGTAAATATTTATTGCAGCTCCATACCATTTCACGTGTCCTTGTGAAATTCACAGCTTATTTCAGCTTCCCGACCTATAAAAGTTTCATAAAAATGTTCACCACAGGTATTTATTAGTTAATATGGAGCCTTGGCAAAAATGCACTTTAATATAATAAGATAATAATTGTTCATCTAATAATTACATGTAGGTAAATAGATGTATACTAGTGTTCAACATTGAAAGTCTTACTCTGCGAGCCAACCTTACACATTACATGTCAATGTAAGCTATGAGGGTCCATGGGTGAATTTCTACTTGTTAGGGCTGAATTTTGAGCCCTGCTATTTTTCTCTATAAAATTTATAGCTGTATGCAAATATATATTTATGTTTAAAGAAAATATTTCTCATACAATGCAATTCTTCTTATTCTGTAAGTTGAAGTTGTGTTAATATAAAGTATGTGTTCTTTTTTGAAGGCCTAGTTAGACTATTAGAATATTAATTTTAGATCAGGTCTTAAATCTTTTGGACAACTGCTTGTGTGACCTTCATTGCTTGCTAATATCACAGCAGTGTCAGTCAGTTACCAATATGGGCAGCCTGTGCTGTGAAATGGTGTCTCTCTCTAGACAACTCAAGTTCTAAAACTGGACAGAATTTCTGAAAACTAAACATTTAAATTAACAATTACTATGCTAAATGCAGTAACATAACTGCTTCTGGGACATTTTGTGCAGTAATAATGTCTCTTTTTTTTTCTTAGCTTGATTTGCTTAGGGTGTCCCCATGTTAAGGTGACACTATAGTCATCAAAACAACTTTTTCTTAAAGAAGCCGTTTGGGTGCATAGATCATGCCTCTGAAGTCTCACTACTCAATTCTCTGCCATTTAGGAGTAAAATCCCTTTTTTTTCTGTTAATGTAGTTACAGCCACACCTCCCCTGTCTGTGACTGACACAGCCTGCATGAAAACAAAATGGTTTCATTTTCAATCACATGTAACTCACGTTAAAATTTTGTATTTCATTCTCTGTAAATTGAACTTTAATTACTTATTGGTGGCTACTGTAGGGTTTAGCAAGCTATTAACAGAGCAGGAGATAAATTCTAAATGAAACAGAATTTACAATAAAGGACGTGTAAACATGAAATTACTCTTTACAGGATTGTTTAGGAAAACTGTGTAAGTCACATGTAAGGAGGTTTGACTAGGGATGCATAAACAAAGGGATTTAACTCCTAAATGAGAGTTGAGCAAGGAGAATCTAGGGGTATGTTCTATACACCAAAACTGCTCTCATGGGTGGGAGCAGTCTTCTGTGCAAATGGTAAAGGTTCATTCTGTAATGGCACGAGTGAGCAAAAGCTATTTTGAGAGTGGGGATTTATTGAAAGGCAAGTTATTGAGTCTTTTTAAGCTTTTGTCCGTTCTCAGATTTCTCATATTCTCTGTTTTTGCTTCTGTAACTAAAGTAGACCTAGCTAATGTATAACAACATTTTATTGACATTAAAAATGATTTATTGCATGCAAATGCCAGAATATTGTGGATGCTTCCTTCATTTTATTTACATGCCTCATTTTTAGGAAATCTGTTCATTTTAAATTAGGAGAGTATATAAGGTGACATTTGTCCATTTTTCTTCCAGAGCTTCAGTCTTTAGAACAGCAGTTAGAAGAAGCACGGACGGAAATCTTTAATATTAAGCAAATGAAGGACTTGTTTGAGCAGAAAGCAGCCCAGCTGGCCACCGAAGTTGTTCGTGAGTATTATTTGTCTTTATTCTTGCCGTACTACATGATGCAATGCTTATTTCATCTCCAGCTGGGTTTTCTTGTCAAACCAGAGTTAAAATCAGAATATGATGAAGAAAAAGGTCACCTTGCAGCCGCAAAAGAGAAAGTTGAATATTTAAACCAGGAACTCGAGTCAAAGTCACGTTTAATTGAAGACTTAAAGACAGAGTTGGTAAGTAGATGTTTCCAGCAAATCTTACACTTCTGATATCTTCTCTTTAGACCTTTTCACATTTGTGATAAACCCTCTGACCAATTTGTAAGATAAAAAAAATGTGATAGCTGCACTTTCATAATCTACATAATATATAATGTCACAATAAGTCACACTGGTAGGTATCCTCAGTAAACCCAATAAAAGGGATACAGCAAGCACCAAAACAGCGTAAGCTTAATGAAGCAGTTTTAGTATATAGACCATACCACTGCAGTCTTAATTATCAGCCACTTACGAGTTAACAGTTTTGTTTCTGTCCATGCTACCCTAGCCACACCTCCCCTGGTTGTGACTGACACAACCTGCATGAAAAAAATGGTTTCATGTTCTATGTTTAAACTTTAGAAGTTCTTAACTTTTGTTCTGTTAATTGAACTTTAATCACACATAGGAGGCTCCCGAAGGCTCAAGCAGGCTATTAACAGAGCAAGAGTTAAACAATTCTAAATTAAACAGACTGTGCAATAAAGGAAGTTTAAACTTTCGATCTCTCTTTACAGGAAATGGGTATGGACACTGTGTCGGTCTCATGCAGGGGAGGTGTGGTTAGAGGTGCATAAACAATGATTTAACTTGAATGAATGAGAAATGAGCGGTGTAACTGCAGGAGCATGCTCTGTACACCAGAACTGCCAAACTGCTACGTTAAGCTAAGTTGTTTTGATGTCTATAGTGTCCCTTTAATAGTAAGAATATCCACAGATGTCAAAATAAAACTGCCCTTTTTTAATTAGTTAACAAATTTAATCTTGCATAAACACTCTGAGCATAATTACTAAAGCCTGATGTACAAACCAACATTTCTGCATTTTGCTGTGCAAGGAAGACATAATGCAGTGCCTAAATTGCCATATAGTTCATAGCACCTAGATCGCCCCCTAGAAAATGTAGGTTTGTAAGAATTATTTTGTTAAAATTTTACAAATGTTGGCCTATCAACTCAAAATACGGGAAGCATATAAAATGCTACATGTTGAGGCAAGGAAAATTTATAGCGATAGATCCACTTTTATTATTTGATCGTCTGTCTCATTATAATTATCTGTATGTTGTTTTATAGATGTGAGAACTGATTTAATGAAAGCTTTAACTGAACCTGTTATAAAAAAAATTAACTTATCTGATATCACTCCCATATACACTCATTATACCATATATCACAAAGATACATAATGTATTCAATGTAAAATATAAAGATTTACTCACTTTTCCTCTGTTCCAGATCCACTTTGTGCATGGTACTTTTTGTGTAAAACCCACCTCCTGGGTGTCCTCTGCTCTGCCTGCACTTTTCCCATTTGCAGAGCAAATCTGTTAAGTGACATCGACATGCTGGCTTCATTTCCAGCATGCTGGTGTCAAAACAGAGTCTGTCCTAGTGCCGGCTATGGAGTTTCCATAGCAACCACTGTGGTTGCTATGGGTGTAGAGCAGAGGGACCTCCTTTGGGAGGTCTTTTCTGTATGCCAATACATTGACTGAGAGGTGGAAAAAAAAACAAAAAAAAAAAACATTTTTGCAGAAGTTTATCTCCTAATCTATACATTTTCTAACAATACTGCTAGCACAATGTAGAGATAAAATATTATGCTCACTCTAATGAGCATAAGTTGTTCGGGGCACGACAGGTGCCCTTTAATGTATATTGTTGTGTACTGTGGTTACAGATATAAATACATGTGTTTGAACCATTACAGGGACACTTCATGCTGGTGCTTTATCCATTACTTCTAAATCCGTATATAAATGATGCAATAAAGTATGAGCATCGTTCTTCAGTTTTCTGTTTATACGTTGCTGTGCAGAGTTCTGTCAGTCAGTGTAGCTGTTTTATTGGTACATAAAAAAAGTGCATGCTTTATTTACCTTCGGAATATAACGATGGCAGTGAGCTACGTTATGTTGCATAGTTAAAAGGGGAAATACTTTTGGTTGGTTGGGAACGACCATAAAATAGTGAGCTTATGGGAGAATAAATACCATTATTTATTTTAAAGTATAGAAAATAATGTGTGGATGCCTTGAGTATCCCTTTTATAAGTAAGTGTATGTAACATAAAATATAAATTGGAAAGATGTTTGTCAAAACTTTTCTAGCCTTATGTATAGTTATAGTCCTTCTGCTTCGCAGCTCCAGCGGCCTGGAATTGAAGATGTTGCTGTGTTGAAGAAAGAGCTTGTCCAGGTTCAGACGTTGATGGACAAAACCACTCTAGAACGTGAGAAGGAATCCGAGAAGCTAAAAGATGAGTGTAAACAGCTGCATGTGCAAAATGCTAACTCAGAGGTAAACCATCCACATTGAGACTCCGTACGTGGGAAATAACCATTGAGAAGCAAATTAAAATACTAGGAAGCATAAACGAACAGTAAACACACAGAGCAACATTTTATCAATAAACCTTTAGTTTTATGGTCAAAATGTTGCTCGGTGGGTTGGGGCTCTAATCAAGGGGGCATTTTTATACCGGGAACGCTATACACTGGTTTTTCATTTAGATTATTGTTGCATGGTAGAGTATGCAACTGTTGCACCCTTGGTTTAAATTTGGTGGGTGCTCATGGTTTTTTTTTTTTTTATGTGAACTTTGTGCACATTGTATATACACCTTGAGACAATTGTTCTACTAGCTTTAGCTTTGAAATGAGAGATTTGCCTCACCGTACAGGCTGAAAAAAGGCACAGTGCACTTTTCTGACATTCCTAGGGATAGGACACTGATTGGATAGATCAGTGTCCTCCCTGGAGTGGGTGTGGAAAAAATAATAGAAAGGAAGCAGGTAAATATGAAAAAAAGTGAAGATGTGGCATGGTTTATATACCAAAACTGCACATGTGCAGTTGGAAGACCTTTTCCCCTTGCAACATCTGACTTGGAGGAAAAGAGTGTGATCATGCAGAGCATGCTTTGGTGAAGAGCTACTGTCTATTGCTGCTGCACAAGAATGCCCTGTGTGTAGTGGTTATATTGGAATCTGTGTGCCATCCCCTCTGTTTTCTGATAAACCATTTAGTCGCAGTGTGAAAAAAACAAAAAAATCAAGTATGGCCCTCTGGAGTATCCAGAGGTTGCACCTAGCTCAGGTGCATCAACAATGTAGAATGTACTACATTTCGCCATTATTAGTGTCAGTTGTGTTCATCATAGATGGTGGTGATTGGAGGAGATGGCAGTAAGCAATTTACAGTTTCAGTCTGTTAATGCACCTTAGGGGGGGATACTCTCTAGATCCCACAAAAAACCTCTTCAAAGTATTTTTACCAAGTATTTAGGAACTCTGGACAAAATAAGTACTATATCTCATTAATGTGTGTTTGTGTGTAATTTAAAAAAAAATTTTTTTGGTACTTTCCTATGAATGTTAGGTTTTTTTTTTTTGGTTCCTTTAAAACAGACTTTCATATTTTCTTGTCTGCTGGTTAGGAGTCGTTTTGCCATTTGCTCCACACTTCCTGTCATGTCTCAAGATGTGGTCTGGCCAGTAGAAGTGGAAGCTAAACAAAGTCACTGGGTTATATTCTTTGTCAGTCACATACTGTGAAGGATGGTCAAACTCCTTTAGTGTCACACACAAGGCATACCAAGACTAGCTTGGGAAGGGCTGTAGTTTGCTTTTTTAAAGGAACACTATAGTCACCTAAATGACTTTAGCTAAATAAAGCAGTTTTAGTGTATAGATCATTCCCCTGCAATTTCACTGCTCGGTTCACTGTCATTTAGGAGTTAAATCACTTTGTTTCTGTTTATGCAGCCCTAGCCACACCTCCCCTGGCTATGATTGACAGAGCCTGCATTGAAAAAAAACTGGTTTCACTTTCAAACAGATGTAATTTACCTTAAATAATTGTATCTCAATCTCTAAATTGAACTTTAATCACATACAGGAGGCTCTTGCAGGGTCTAGCAAGCTATTAACATAGCAGGGGATAAGAAAATCTTAATTAAACAGAACTTGCAATAAAGAAAGCCTAAATAGGGCTCTCTTTACAGGAAGTGTTTATGGAAAGCTGTGCAAGTCACATGCAGGGAGGTGTGACTAGGGTTCATAAACAAAGGGATTTAACTCCTAAATGGCATTTGAGCAGCGAGGCTGCAGGGGCATGTTCTATACACCAAAACTGCTTCATTAAGTTAAAGTTGTTCATGTGACTATAGTGTCCCTTTAATAGCTGAGCAATACAATTCAGTTATCCAAGACTAATATTGACTGCAAGAATACGAGTGTTTTGGTTTTAAGAAATGTCTTTGTGCCAATACACACTTTCCACCTACTAAACATACAAGCATTATTTCTGTTAACAAATACTTTTATTAGATTATCTGTATATGAGTTTTCCTTAAGGCTCAGTACTGTTAGTAAAATAAAATTATGGCCTATACTGGGTCAATGCATTTATTTACCTTTTGAATAACTATATCCTTGCCCCCCACAGTACAGACATTAACTGTTAACGTGTATATCATTGTTGCAGTAGTCCATTAATCTGATTATAAACATGTGCTGCCTTTCGGCATGCAGTCATTTTGTTCTATTAAGGCCATTCTTTCCATACACATGTTTGCTGGGGCAGTGATCAAGCCTAAAGCAAAGTATTATGTGATTAAAATTAATTAAATGTTATGTACAGCTGGCCTCCTGTTTACGATTCCGCCCGCTACTTAATACCTTATGCAATGTGTTCACACATACCTATTTTAAGAAGAGAGCATACCAGCCATAATTTCATAGAAGCAACACACTCTTTACCAGGCCCTATTGATTCTTTGACAACGGTGAACTTTACAGGCAATATCATGTTATAAAAGGGTTAATTTAGACCACATCATATTCCAGTCTACAGTTAAATATAAGTGATATCTACAATAAATAGAGGAAATATTTCAAAACCTGAGTGCAAATTCCTTTTATTACACGTCTGAGTTGTCAGTACAACATGCAGATCTTTAATTTGTTGTGCCATATTGTGATTATTGATTGTCCAGACAATAGCCAGCAATATGATTAATGATATAACAATTACGTTATTTTGCCTTCTACGCTTTATCTTTTACTAATCATAGTGGTATTGTTTAGTTGTGATGTGTAATGGCTCGCTACCATTTATCTGTTTCCCATCATGCATCCATCATCTTTTTCATTCTTTTTTTTTGTCTGCTCACTAAAGGAGGTACTCCCATTTGAGGTAATGTTTTTTAAAAAGACTTCCAATGCTTTGTTTGTTCACACACACATATCAGCTGGAAGAATACAGACAGGGAATTCTATTCACTATCATCACATCATCTTCTATGTTACATTTTTATTTTCACACTGAAACAGGCGTACGTAAGGCCAGTGATAGCACACCTTGACATCCCAGATATTAGCAAATGTAAAGCTGGCATCCTGAGAAATTGGGTTCAGAAATATCTGGGGTGCCAATGTAAGCCATGCATTAGTTAGATTTATGAACGTCATGGGAAAAATATCGGCCTATGCTCTGCGTTTGGATTTGATTGTGGTTTAAGTATTGGCACTCTACCAGTCCTAGAGACTGATGCATCTTAAACACTTGGATCATCTAGCGTAAAATACCTTCTAACTCTGAGTGTGCAGTTTATGGTATGAGCTACAGTGCAATTGATTACAAATAATGGGAATTTTGGCAGAATTTAATCTGCACGTTTCATCAGAATTTCAGATGTTTGTAGCACTATGCTCTTCCCACCTGGAGTGATTTAGAATGCATTATAAACTAGTTCTGATTGTTTTATACATAGAGGTATCCCAATCTGGTTGATCCCATTAGTGACATATTGCTTCCTGAAGTTAGGTAGTCTATACAGTTGTCTAGACTATTTTTCAAAAGAAGGGTCTCCGTGTGTAAAAGATTCTGATCCAAGACTATTTGGTGACTAACATCATCTCCTGATTGGCTGGAGACTGATGCTGTCTACTCAAATTCCCATCCTGATTAACCGTGTGACGCCCAAAATGCATATGTGCCCCTAGTCTAGTTGTGATTTTAAGTGTTGAAAGTACGGTACATTTTGCTTTATATAATGTGTTGCTTTTCTATGTATCATGTTTAGGCTACTATTAGCCAGTTAAAAGCTGAGCTTGCCAAAGGTCCCCAAGAGGTTGCAGTGTATGTGCAAGAACTCCAGCAATTGAAGAGTTCAATGACAGAGTTATCTCAGAAAAATGAGGTAAGGCAGCAACCATCTCTTCTATTCATCATACAGCAATCTGCAATGTGGATCATGTACATTTCTTAATTGGATGCTTTGTGTCGCAAAGATACATTCCAAAGTATAATTGACCAATTAGTTTTTATTCTTTGGATTTATGGATATAGATTTTTATATATATATATATATATATATATATATATATATATATATACACACACACACTAGTTTATTTGAATTTTATTACATTGTTTAAATATTGTTAAACAAATATAAATGTTATAATCTCGTTGTTTTCCATCAACGTTGCAACATTCCTCGAACCTGTCCAGTACACTGTGACACAAATTATAACTACTTTAGAATCCATTTTCTTTGTTCAGTTTACCGTCGTCATTCACAATAACTGTAAAGAAAAAAAATATTATATCCTCCCTCCACTATTCTTACCGACTGCTACACTGTTTAAATGTCTGAAATTGAACTGCCACTTTGTTGTGTGTCCGTGTGTTTGTGTACCCACATATGTTCATCATAAACTGAAACGTTAATCTTCATGCAGCAAATATTATGCAAAATGTAATCATTTGTAAAGAGCTACATCAAGCACCATGACCACTTCAGTGACATGCAAAGTTAAAGCACTTTGCTGCTGGAGGTGCAACTCCACCTCGGCAGGGTCATTAGGAATTTGGAATTAGCCTGACTATTGTTGAATCTCTTTTTTTCAATATAATACAACCTGATGGGTTGGTGATATTTCTTTTTGTCATCTGTATAATTTCAGTAAGTGTTCCTCTTTATTTAATTTACAGAGTTTACTAGAAAAGATCTTAAAGAAAGAGTTAGATTACACCAAGCTGGAGGAGAAGCACAATGAAGAGTCCACAGCCAAGAAGAACCTGCAAGTTGCCCTGAACCAAAAGGATGTGGAATGTCAGCAGCTTCAAGCTCGGCTCTCTGCTGGGGAAGCTTCACTACAGACAGTCAGGACAGAGGTGGCTGAGAAAGTAGAAGCCAATCAGAAACTGAAAGAGGAACTCTCTGAGGTAGAGACCAAACACCAGCATCTGAAGGCCGAGTTCAAACAGATTCAGCAGCAGCGAGATGAGAAAGAGCAGCATTGCCTGCAGCTGCAAAGCGAAATAAATCAGGTGACTATTTGTAATAGTTCATTCATCTTCATTTATCACTTTTTAATGTCCTATCACGTTGTTGTCTGTAATTGTACTTTTACTATTACATTGTAATATAGTCTTCTAAACAAACTATGGCATCAGGTTTTATTTTTACAATGTACTATGCAAGACTTTCTGGTATGTCTAATTGCATGGGTCCTGCGGAAACCTTTTTAGTTTTTTTTGTAACCTCTCATCTTCCATCTGATGTGGAAAGAGAAGTGAAATGATCATGGGTCTCTGCTGGTTACTTGGGGATCCTGTGCTACGATGCATAGTTCATTCATTCATTCATTCATTCAATTCCAAGGTCTGTCTGCATGAGAACAGCCTATAGGATGTTCTCCATCAGGGCTTCAGCATTATTAAGCATGTGCGAGGTGTGCCTCATCATTAAAACCTGCATCCTCACAGAAGAGCAGTTTGTCAGACGTTGGGAAAGGCATCCAAGGCAATTCCCAAATAGAGGCAAAACAAGGAGGAAGCTTCAAGCCCAACAAAGGGGAGCTAATGGCAGTGTTGTCTTATCCCAAATAACACTCTGAAAAATAGACATTTTTGCAAGTATTCATGTAACTAATTATATTTGACTAATGTTGGAAAATGGGCAACAGGTTCACTTTAAATGTTCAAGTGGGTTTTATGCACTGGAAATGTGGGTAATTGATAAAACAATTGCACATTTTAATACAAAATGATTGAGCTAGAAATGTAGCATTTGAGCTTTATGTATGTATTTATTTGGCTTTAAAAGTTACAATTCCAAAATCACTTCTCCCTTTATTTGCTCCTATTTGCCAGTCTCTTGAATAATCTTGTGTGATGGAGGATGGCTTGTTAAAATGTAATCCAGTCTATCTGGAGTTTTTGATAATGCTATATTTATGAAAAATACAGTTCCATGTTAATTGAGGGTAATTCCAATAAGAACGGTCTTCATTGCTTACGTTTAAGGGTCACGGTAAGCAACAAAACAATTTCATGTCAGTGCAGTGGTTTTGGTCCCAATTCCCTGGCAGCATAAAGAAAATCTGTTACTGAGAAATGGCAATGTTAATATTTTGCCTAAATCACTCGCTGACAGACTGCTCTGTGTACCCAGTGCTTCTCTATGAGAAGCACTGCATTGAACAAAAGTCATCAGAAATTACTACTTCTTTAGAGGTGGAATATCTGCAGATAGTTGTCTATCCTCAGGCTGGAATGAAAGTAAATGTACTTTATTTATTAAGCAAGGGGCTCTACTTATCTAGACTAGTAAAGGAATACTTGAATGTTAAAAACAAGTAATACAGTTTTAACATTAAAGTGTGTCTTTAATTTTCCTTCTGCAGCATATGAATCTATACAGGAAGACTCATCAAGGCATCTTGTTTTGTGTGTGTGGGTGCGTGCGTGTGTGTGTGTTCATGTGTGTATTAATTACATAGTACACATTCTAATGCACTTTTTATCTGTTCCTTACTAGAGGTTATTGGCCTGTATTTCATCACATACTAGAGGTTTTGGTTATAGCCTTTTAGAGGGACGCTATAGACCCCAAAACAACTTGATCTATTTGGTGTATAGATCATATCCCTATTTGGTGTAGTCTCACTGCTCAATTTTCTGTCATTTGAGTTAAATCGCTTTACTTATACAGCCCTCGTCAAACCTCCCTGCATGTGACTTGCACAGCCTTCCCAAACACATCCTAAAAAATAATCTAGATATTTTAAGTTCCTTTATTGCACAGTTTGTTTTATCTAGAATTTCCTATATTCTGCTCTGTTAATAGCCTCCTTGACCCGGCAGGAGCCTCCTGTGTGTGACTAAAGGCCAACAGCGCAGGAGATAAAAACTTCTAAAGAAAGTTAACAGCTGCTTGAAAATGAAACCATTGCTTTCTTGCAGGCTGTCTCAGTCACAGAAAAGGACGTGTGACTAAGGCTGCATGGACAGAAACAAAAGTGATTTAACTCCTAAATGGCAGAGAATTGAGCAGTGAGACTTCAGGGGAATGATCTATACACAAACGGCCTAACTAAGCTAAAGTTGTTTTGATGTGTCTAATTTCCCTTTAATGTATACCTAACAGTGACTCACATCATATGGTGTTTCAATAAAAGCTGCTGATATTTCAGATGACCTGAAGTAATGTAGACTGTGTTAACATGCTAATCTTGCTGTATATGTGGTAATCAGTAGAAAGTGCCTGGCAACTAACATGACCCTTTCTGCTCTCAGCTTCACAGCAAGTTACTGGAGACAGAGCGCCAGCTAGGGGAAGCTCATGGAAGGCTGAAAGAGCAGAGACAGCTGTCTGCTGAGAAGCTGATGGACAAGGAACAGCAGGTGGCAGATTTGCAGCTGAAGCTCTCACGTGCTGAGGAGCAGGTCTGTTTGTTTGCTCTCAGATTATATTTGTAGCTACTGCTGAATTCCAACACCTTTCACCTTGTGGAAAATCTTTAACATACGCGATCAGCATGTTCTATTGACTGACTAAGGCATATTTTAATGTAGCTTGCAAAAAAACTCCTACTTTTTCCCCTTTCGTAGTTTGTTTTTCTTTTGGGGGTGGGAGTTCAGGAAGTAGATGTAGAGACAATTTTGGGGTTCCGACTTACAGCTCTAAGAGTAGTTTGTTATGCCTTCTGTAATGTGTGATATTTCGTACATTGATTTGTTTATATTAACAATTAACCCTTGAAGGCATGGTTTGTAGTAATAGATTTTGATACAGGGTCACGAGAATTTAGGATCTATTCCAGTATTCTTTGGTGCCACCTGTTGGAAGGCTAGATCATTCTTCTACATTTATTGCTGACCGATATGTTAATTAGTTGATGTTCAGATTACGTTTTTTTGGGTTGCTATTTATCACTTTAATTATGCTTTTTATTTTCCATCCAAGCTTAAAGAAAAGACAACCACCTCTAGCGACCTGCAACACCAACTGGAAAAGATAAGGCAACAGCATCAAGAACAGCAGACCCTCCAGCAAAACACAACATCCAAACTTAGGGAAGCACAGGTATTTGTACATGACCGTTAACAGTGGCATTAACATTATGCCTTCAGTAGACTGCTGTGATATGCAAACTGCAGGTTCATCAATCAATATACATAAAGCTATCCGCCATCCTGGAGACCGTAACTAGTCTGTGAAATAAACAATAAACACGAGATATAGAGCTAACTTGTTTAGCCCGAATATGTAAATAATTTGGAGTCTTTTTAATAGACTGGATTTTGTCTCACAGTAAATAAATTCTTGCTTAACCCCCTTACTGTAATAGGGTGGGGGAGGGGAGTTGTAAATCTAATACATGTTTAAAAACAAATTCATACTTGCCTTCAGAAGTCTTCTTTCTCTTTAACGCTTCTTTTATTCAGAACATATAAACCCGACTCTTACAGAGGTTGACCAGTAACCTGTACCCCAAAGTATTTTACAGGCCCCATCCCCATAGGATGAGGCATTTTCTAGCAAATGGGTAACAATAGCTGATCAGTTGCTAGATTTAATGACTGTGAGCAACATCTTAGCTGAGCACATGAAATTTAGCCTTGTGCTTAACCCCTTAATGACCAAACTTCTGGAATAAAAGGGAATCTTGACATGTCACACATAAACTCCCTCTTCTCTTTGTAAGAGCCATGAGGCAGGTTAGCTTACACTTTAATGGGCATTGAAGTGGCACAAAAAAACTCCAATTATTTAAATAGCAATAACAATTTGGAATAGCGCTCAAGTTATTTATTTATTTTATATGTATTTGGGCAAAGTACTATTGCCATTGCTGTCGCTGAAAAGTAGAGTTAGTTTGGGCAAAGGGCTAAATGTTTGTTTTAACACATTCATAAATCAAACATGTCTTGAAGTTAGAAATCATTATGAACCGATAACTGTATTCAACATTTTTAGTTTTTAATCACATGGTTGTGAGATTGATATGCCACGATCGCAAGATTAACGAACTGCAAACATTATGGATAAATGTTAACAGCCAGTTTGATAACGTGGCATTATGCACATTTTGGGAGCTGCGGACGGAACTATAAAACCACCTACACTAGGGTAATTTTGGTATATCTATTGTTTATTTTGTCAAAAGCAAAACTGTTTTCTGCTTGATAATTGTTTTGGTGCGGGTGTGGGGGGTTATTTGTTAAAAAGGTCCATCAGTGACTTAAACCCATTTTGGTTGTTGAGTCGAGGAAAAATTATGCTATTTATATGTTGATAAACGCAATCGCTTGAAGCATACCTGCCACGGTACTTGCAAGTTTTTCTCATTTAAAGGAAATTTCTATTTCATCTATACATTATATTAGCAGAATTCCTAGTTAATGTATAGAATGGAATAAAACTCTATTTAAATTTTTTTTCGCAATCTGTTAAATGACTTGAAGTCCACATACAACTCTGCAGAAAATTGATTGTCGAGCGGGATCAAGAGAACCCTCTTACAGACTTAGAATTGTGCTTGCTGTAGTTACTCCATAGTCAGCATTACCTGTGCAGACTTTAGAAATATAGGAACGGATTGATTGATGTCACCTTTCCAGATGCTGTTGTCATGGCAATTAATAAAGTGTCCCCAAGCCAGCATGAGTGCTTTAGCTATGAATGTGTGAAAGGTCGCGATAGGCATAAATGTTCCCAACACTGTGTGCATGCCATCCTAGTGCCAATTATGTACTTCAAAATTCACCCGTGTGTTTATTTCAGAATGATCTTGAGCAAGTATTACGCCAAATTGGGGATAAAGACCAAAAGATTCAGAACCTCGAGGCCTTACTAGAGAAGAGCAAAAAGAATATCTCTCTGCTGGAAAAAGAGCGGGAAGATTTGTATGCCAAAATTCAAGCTGGGGAAGGAGAAACTGCTGTTCTGAACCAACTTCAAGAGAAAAATCACGCGCTGCATGAACAGGTATCCCATTTTGCAACTACATATGTTTTGTCTTCATGAATGATCTGATTTGTAGCTGCTTCCTACTATCATTTTGCTTAATCTAGAGGTGTAATCATTACCGTGGGAAAAATGGGGGGGGGGAATGAATTTTAAGATTTAGGCCAATTTTTAAACATTCTACAATTAAGATGTGATTTGGAGTGTATTTTTACCTATTACCTATTTTACTTTATTAACCCCTTAAGGACACATGTCATGTGTGACATGTCATGATTCCCTTTTATTCCAGAAGTTTGGTCCTTAAGGGGTTAAAGAACTCTTTGTCACTAAGTTGACTCTAGACCAATGGGCATGGTCCTACGTGGTCTTGTTTATCTCTACAGAGCCAACCTGATACTCCACCAGGAGAAGATTGGAAGCAGGGGCTGCACCCTTAGTTGCTCAGCAGGACCCCAAGGGAATTGTCAAACTGTATGAAAATAGTTTGACCTACTTATTATGGGGATAGCACTCCTGACTTTCACAATTATGTTTTTAACACAATCTTTATAAGGTGTAAATTATCTACTAATGCTGAGATTTGATTTGAACAGTGAATGGTAAATGCTTGCTCTGAAATTCATAATTACATAAACTATTTATGTCAGCTAACACAGCTCACAGAGAAGTTAAAGAACCAGTCAGAAAGTCACAAACAAGCTCAAGAAAACTTGCACGAGCAAATGCAGGAGCAGAAATCACATCTTCGAGCATCACAGGACCACGTACTGTCTCTGGAGACAACCATTAGTGAGCTCAATGGCCAACTGAACGAAAGTAAAGAGAAGATGTCCCAGCTGGATTTGCAGGTATAGTTTCATGTATATGTGTATAAATATACACACACACATTAGGATGGTACAGTTTTTAAAATAATTCAGTCATAGACGCTTATCAGGAAACATCTCAAAGCTGCAGTTAGTTGGACACTTTAGAATGCTTCTAATTTTTACAATAATAATAAGCTTAGATTTCTCAGTGTGCATACCTCATCTGAGTGCCACTAAGTGTCATTCCACTCCCAACTTGGATTACATCCTGAAAGGGAAATTTAGGAAATATTTTTACAATATGTGTTACATGTAGTGAACAAAATAACTTTACAGTAAAACAATGCAAATCTCACTACTCGTGATCTTGCAGCTAATGTTTTCAGTTGAAATAAAGAATATCTTCTGACTACTGTGAAATAATTCCTGAACCGTTGTAAAAGCTTATCACGGGCAGCCTTCCATGCTTATTTTAATATTCCTAATCAGATGATAAAAAGAGAGACGTAGTATGGTAACTTCAGTGGTAGATGGATAGCAATGAGCGTTACAAGTGACAGTTGGAGGCAGACTATTGGAACTGTTACAATCGATGACACATTTTGCATGTATGTTCCATGCAAGGACCCAGCTCAGCAGTCAATGAACACTTCAATGTCTATGTGTATTCACTAACCTCCAGGATAACACAACTTTCTTGTCCATTAAGTGCAAATAAATACTCTGGTTAGTCAAATGTTTAAGAGCTTCAGCTTTTGCTGAAACTGTGTAAAGGAAAATGTCAATATTTTTTTTTTATTTATTAATTTTTATCTCATGTTTAAGTCAAAGAGTTGTTCTCATATGGAAATTGTCTAAACAATCTTGCAGCCTTTTTGTTTTAAATGTCATAACTACCAATACCACCCGATGATAAAATCCTCCGTATTCCTATCTCCATTTAATTCTAGATCAAAGCGAAGACTGAACTTTTGTTGTCAGCAGAAGCAGCAAAAACAGCTCAGAGAGTAGATCTCCAAAGCCACTTGGATACAGCACAGAATGCATTGCAAGATAAGCAACAGGTAAAGTGTCCTGGTCTAATCACAATCTAGAACGCATATATTGTGCCTGAATTTATCACAAAGGTGAGATGATTGGCTAAAATCAGGCATGATGCACTAATATTTCTATGACCTTAAAAGGGACATTCCTCAGTATACATAGTTTGTATATATTATAAAGATAATGGATTAAAACACAATGAATATACTTATGAAAAAGGCTCTGTAGCAAATTTATGGAGCGACATGGCTTAATAAGCCAATCGCTGTAACCCCTTCACTGGAATAGGTTATTAGTGTACATGCATATTTATATGATATCACATACTCCACAATAACTGATCACATTCACCAATTTCCTATTTGCATTTGTCTGTCTTTCTTGTCACGTTAGACAAAGCCTCGTAGTTTATGTCATTATAAAGTCATGTGTTTTTCCTCCTGAAGTGACACAAGGCTGTTGGGCTAATCAGCATGTTTTATTTTATTACAACAGTCTTGGCTCTTATATGGGGATAAAAAAAGAATTGTTTCTCTTTCATACTGCAAAGTTTCTTTATTTTTTTTGTTGTAGGAGTTAAATAAAGTAAACACTCAGCTTGAACAAGTGACATCAAAATTACAGGACAAACAGGAATACTGCGCTCAAATGGAGTCAAATCTCAAGGAATCTAAAGAAAAACATCTCAACCTAGAACAGAAGTCTGAAGCCTTAGAAGGGCAGCTTAAGGTCTGTTCAAAATGCCATTGTAGGATAGTAAGCAAGAGAGAGCAAGTGGGCAAAGCTACTTTTGAAAATAGTTCAAATGACATTAATTCTGGCAGGCATGTCTATAATATTGCAAGTAATAACATGAATTTTTAATTAAAAATTATTATATATATATTTTTTTATATATTTTTTTTTATATATTTCCAATACCTAGATAAAAGTTAGCAATTAGTCACACTATTGAAAAATAATTACCTGTACCAGATGGCAAGCTGTATTCTCTGTAAATTGTCAGTGATAGCAGCTTCTATTATTTTGTGGTACCTCCAGCCTACATGTTGTGCTGATAATGCTTTAAACAATTCTATGCCATTACCCGTCTCCCACAGTGCACCAGACACTGTACGGATTTATTGCTCATTTTCAGCCTTTGATATTTTTTTTGGTGCAGAAATGAGGAGAATAGAGAGAAGTCATTGGTGTCCTAATTTTTTCTTTGTCATGCATTTATAGAAAAGCAAACAAACAAACTGCTAGCAGTATCACTAATAACAAACACAACTACATGAAGACACTTTTGTTTCAACTATTAGTATATCAGCTTGAGGACTGCATTATTAAAGACCATGTAACATGTGAGACGTTGTGAGGTCTAGTGATAAACACTGTGAATGCAGTATTTATAGCAATTTCAGATTATAGCCAGTAACAATGCATATAAGACATAAAGCAGGCTGATGGAACAAGTTACCGTGTTTATAATGATTGATTACAGTTATTAGCATGAATTTAGATATTAACTATAGAATTGTTTTTTGTTTTTTTTATTTTGTATTATTAAACAGAAACTCGAAGCAGACCTGGCTAATGTCAAAGCCAGTCGAGAGCAGACCATGCAGGAGCTACAGCAACAAAAACAACAGAGCACGCAGTTGGAACTCAAAGTCACAGAGCTCTCCAAACAGCTGGAGGATGAGAAGGGATTGTAAGTCACTTGTTACTCCTCATTGCTAATGCTAGGCATCTTGCATAGATATCATGTTTCAATTTATTTTCCCATTCATAAAGTAGTATAAATGTTGTCCAGCTGGTGTGGACCACTGGATGTGCCTCCTTGCATCCAAGCAAGCCATTTCTTTTATTTTTTTTTTATTCTTATATGTATTTGATTTTATTAGTGCTGCCCTCATGTGGGCTGTTAAAGGAGCGCCGGTTATAGCGAGAGAGAAGAAATTATGTCTCCTGTCCATTAAGAGGCTCACATAGTGTTCTGTGCATTCCAGAAAGAAGAGCAGTGACAGGTCTGGAAGTGCAGATTGTTTACTACATGCAATTATCACTAGCGGTATAGGGGGGAAAGTGAGATGAGGGGCATGAAATTGGTTAAAGGGACTCATAAAGCACTTCAGCTTGCTGACAAGCTTTATGTGTGAAGAGTGTGTCCTCTTTATTTAATTTTTCAAACAGTGCAAGTTTCAATAGAAATTGACACTTTTATAAAAAAAAACCTGGTTACACCCCCATGACTTTCAAGCAGACATGTCCTGTTACATCCTGGTTTGTTTAGCTCAGTGGAGCTAAACCCAAGCGGCAGCAATTGTCCAGAGCACCTTGTCTTGCAAAGACTTCTCATTGAGCTGCATTGGGTAGTCTGTTATTAGACATCAACAGAAAGGCTGGGAGGTATTAGAAGGGGATAGCTTGCAAAGGCAGAACTACAATTTTTGCAAGCTGTTTTTAGATATACCCCAATAAAAATAAATGCATACAAGTTTGGGGTATATCTACTAAACTGTTTTTATTTATTTTGTATTTGGGGAAGAGAATTTCCCTTTAAGAGGGAGAAGTAATGAATGAGGAAAGGGAGAGTTGGGAAGTGAGATTGACAGACTATAAATGAGAGCTGGAGATAGGTAATTGGTGCAAATGAGGTTGATGGTGTAGATGAGTACTAATGAATGCATTTTGGTTTGGTTCTATAATTGCCACATATGTTTGAAATTACCATAGACAAAACAGTAATGTAACATTTACCTATTTATTTGTTATTTTACTCCTTTTGAATATTGTGTTAGTTAAAATTTGATATCTCGTCAAAGCATGTCTGTCCTTTAAATAAAAGAATGTAATACGTACTGAGTGAGAAGAATGTCAATTATGGTTTACACAAAACCGCAAAAAAAAATAAAAATAAATCATCTCTGGTCCCAAATCAGTTAATGCCCAGTGGTTATAATATTCCTTTCAATGTGTTGTATTTCTACAGAGTATGTAAAGCTAAGCAAGAGTTACAAAAGAAATCCGACTCTCTGCAGCAATCAAAAGAGGTGCTCACAAAGCACGAGGAAGAAACAAACAGCCTCAAGGAAAGGCTGGAGAAACTCAAGCAAGATTTAGAGAAGACGACAAAGCGAATGCAAGATGCTGTAGCCAGTGGAGAGAAGGTCAGGCAGGAAAGAGACTCTTTACAGAATGAGCTCACTGATGCCAAAGGCAAGCTGGAAAAGAATAGTGGTATCTTAAAGGAGTCCAAGGACGAGCTTGAAAAAGAACGACAGCAGGGAAGGCAAATGATTCAGAACATTGTGAGTGTCTTAAACCCCAAGATATGGATTTGATTGATTTGTATCATGCTGTATTCATGGTTAATGATTTTCACGTTTGCGTTTGTTTCATTGTCTTTTGTTGGTTTTGTGTTTTCCATAACAAAAATTCAGCTTGTCAACCTTAAAGTGGCACTGTGAGTATTTCATAAAGATAGTCTTCGTGAAATACTCATATTGATTGTGTTGGAATTTCCCTAAAGCTCCAACACAGTCATGAGATATACTGAATTAAATTGGGGACTACTTTGTCTGAGTATTTTTGCTACACCTGACACTTCTAGACATTGGGAGGAGCTACCACCATCTAGAAGTGTCAATGCCCCCAGCCGTCACCAGTGACGGCTGAAAAGAATTGGCTTTATCTACGGAGAATCCCGATGTGTTGCACTTTTATAAATAAAATACATAAATTATGCATACTATACATAAATTAACACATAAATAATGTCTTATTCAGCTTCTAAATTAATTTAGATATGTAGTTGCAAACTGAAAAAGGTGTCTACAGTAAATTCTATAAAAAAAGTGTTTAAAGTCTTTAAAACAAACAGAATTATTACAGTCCTTAGAGCAGCTCTATCTTCTCCCGTATTCTTCCATTTTATTTATTTTTTAAGTTGCACTACAGCGTCCCATTGCATAATAAAAGCATGTTGTAAATGCTTAAAGGACCACTCTAGGCACCCAGACCACTTCAGCTTAATGAAGTGGTCTGGGTGCCAGGTCCTTCTAGGGTTAACCCATTTTTTTTTATAAACATAGCAGTTTCAGAGAAACTGCTATGTTTATGAATGAGTTAAGCCTTCCCCCAAAGCCTCTAGCGGCTGTCTCATTGACAGCCGCTAGAGGCGCTTGCGTGATTCTCACTGTGAAAATCACAGTAAGAGCACGCAAGCGTCCATAGGAAAGCATTGTAAATGCTTTGCTATGAGACCGGCTGAATGCGCGCGCAGCCAGCCGAATGGGCGGAGAGGAGGAGGATCGGAGGAGGAGAGCTCCCCGCCCGGCGCTGGAAAAAGGTAAGTTTTAACCCCTTTCCTCTCCCCAGAGCTGGGCGGGAGGGGGACCCTGAGGGTGGGGGCACCCTCAGGGCACTATAGTGCCAGGAAAACGAGTATGTTTTCCTGGCACTATAGTGGTCCTTTAATGTGATCTTCTGCCTCCCCATATTTTCTGAACTTTCATATAAACATAACCCTAATTCTTTGAAACTCCCACCGATCAATATTTGGTTCAAAACTTAAATTTGTTTTAGAATTATGTGTCAATCTAGAAAGTTGTATTTAGATCTGTCTCAAGCTTTTACTCATTCATGCTTTAGGAGAAATCACATGAAGAAGTGAAAAATAAACTCCAAACTCAGGCTGAATCTGCAGCTAAGGAAGTAAAAGAACTCAAAACCACATTGCAGAAAAAAGAGGAGGTAATCTTATTTATTCTTTGTTTGGTGACTTTGCTGCCAGTGCTATACAAGCTGTTGGCATTATTTTTTGTAAATAGTATTTACTGTATATACTTGTGTATAAGTCGGGAAATTTTAGTCATAAACTTCATTTTAAAACGCAGAGTCGTTTTATCCACGGGTCAGTGCTAGTTTTGTACATTGAATGCGGGGCAATGTCGACTCCCGAACGCCGTTATCCTAACTGGTCGTCAAGTCGAACGGGCAGGGGTACAAGTTTCAGCGGGGTTTGCAGGCTTGTGTAGCCGATTTAGAGACATGCTGTTGACGTCCATGTACCGCTGCCTGCGTTCGGAAGACAAGTTTGTTTAAACATGTGCATTTGTATATATGAATGGCGGCCACCCAGGGAATGCTTGTTTGTGATTACAAGGTGTTAACAAGGGGGAACCACACAGTCTGTTCGTTAACCGAACAGAAGGGGAACAATTCCATTCGAATGCAGGGGGATTTCAATAAGGAAACACATACCCTGGACCACGAGTCATAGCATATTTCACAATTGTTGGTCAAAAAACTGCATTCGACTTATAGACGAGATCGACTTTTAGACTAGTATATACGGTAATTATCTGGAGTATGAATAACTAAAGATGTGCTGTATTAAAGGGGCAGTGTGTTCCAAACAGTAAGCTGTACCTTTAAATGAAATGGTTTTTTTTGTCATATCCTACATGGTCAAAATTTTAAGTATATGTTCTGACTCTTACTACAATGATGGAGTGTAAGTCCACTGTTTGCTTCCTAGTCTTCCTACCGTTTTCCGTCCTGCTAAGATGGTAACTATAGAGCAGTCCAAACCTCTTCTTTTTTTCTAAACCATTTATTTTATTACCTACTAGTTTGATGGTCTAGTTGACAATATGGTGTCAGATCTAAAGGTAGGGTAAGCGGGGACTAAATGTTCAAAAGTGGAAGATAAATTATTGTGGTACTATTGTTGTTTCTACACTGAGGTGTGGTAGAAAAGAGAAATCATTAATTTAAAAAAGGTGTGACTCCAGTGAGACAAAGGACTTACTTATTGATTAATTATTTTTTTTTTTATTCAAGAAATGTTTTTATTCACATCAGTTTGCATACATTAGCAGTAGGAAATGTGGACATGTTTCAGTATAGGCTGGTGTACAATATTATTGCAGTATTACAATGCAGTAAAGTTAGTTGTGGTTGCAATAATGTAATTACAGAACTGGAAAACAAAGCATCATTAAAAGTACACTACGGGGATTGTATTTATTTGCATACATTTGTAGTTAGGAGTGTGAACGTATTGCAGTAAAATATGGCACACGATAACATTGCAGGAGAATATTGCATGAAGGTTGGACATATTTACAGAGATGTGCTCAATGAACTCAAAAATAACGAATAAATAAAATATGTGGGACTATCAGTGGTAACTTCAGGTACATGCATTAATACTAGTTTAAATACATTAAAATTATGAATGCATACCTTATAGACTTAATAATTGGTACTGAATTGTGTGGGATTTGGTATGTAAGAAATCTCATGGTTGCAACAGTGCCTCAGGCCCATCTGCTATCCAAATTATATAGGCTTGGGAAGAAAATCCTATTACGAGGGCTCAATGCAGCGTAATAAGTCATATATGTGAAATTTCATGTTAGCCTTGGAAGCATGCATCAGCACACAGTGTATCGCTTATGTATGACTGCCTCTGCACCTCCACTGTCCCAGTAGAGTCTCGGTAAATTAAACATGGCGCCTCCGTGGGCCCCCTCTATCGCCGGCCATTTCTCCTAAGCATAGCCCATACGGCCTCACGGCCACTGGTCCGCCGCAGTCCTCCACAGTCCAGCCCGGCCGGGGTCACAGCAACTGGGAGCAGCACCCTCCAGGCCTCCGGATCTCCTAGAGGTTGAGGTCACTGCTGTCTGACAAAAGACAGCCCGGTACTCCTGATGCTACTGCTTGATGGCAATCCCCTCGATGCACCTGAGTGATACGTGGGCAGTCTCCTGGGTGAGTGTGTTGAGTCGTTTTATGCGCACCTTGGTAAGGCAAGAAGGGAGTTTTCACAGTGTGAGTATTGCCTCCCATGTTGTGGCTGGGTACATACGGGCAGAGCTGCATCCAACGTCGCACAATTGCAGGCTGAAAACCATAAACTTATGCGTGGAAACTTGCAGTTTAAATCAGGAAACAAGTGACCAGGATAACCCCCCCGGACCAGGGGGGTGCGGGGCCGCAGTGTGGTCTCTCCGTTCGCCTTTTGCACATTGGGAAAGACAGGCACTTCCATATTGTGATTGTTCACGGAGCGTGTGCAGAGTATTTCCAGGCTTAGCAATAGGCCGCAGGTTCATGCCATCTAGTAGGCCCGAGCCTTCCGATTACCCACATTTGTGGGGTTTGCAGCCGCCGACTGGTCTCCTTGTAATGCTGGCTAGTTTCTCTATTTAGATACATTATTTTGAGAGGCAGATGGTCGGTTTGTGAGTGGTAAATCAGTGTTTATTTGGGCTCAGGACCGGAGCTGCATGAGGTGGCTTCCTTTCAGCTCGACCTACTTATTGATTTTGAGTTATATTTAGGGTATTTGCATTAGTAATTCATAATAAAACATCATTCCAATTCATTAGAGGTGATGCATTGACCAATATATATTTATAGTAAAACCCGTTGTTTTGTCAAATATATAGACTAATTAAAAAGATGTACATATTTCTTACAATAATGCCTTACCAGTGGTACATGGAAAATGTCTGCTCCTTGGTGTTGGTAGGTCTAAGTTGCACATCTCACTCATTCTGTGATATTTTACTTGCATTTTGGTTTATATTGCATGCTTTTATACATATGTTTTATACTCCGTATTATATTTATAAAACAAATATTTCAATTAGAGAAGTTCAAATATATATGTAAAATACTCCAGACACTGCTAGTTCTTCCTTTCTGCTCTTCAATAACAAGAGCCGATAGAGTACAAAAATATATATTTTAAATTTATTAAAAACTGGCACTTTTAAATACAAGCTGTGTATTCAAGTGAGCTTCTTGTGTCTATGGCTGAGTGAGTATTCAGCTTTTATTAGACTCCTGGTCACTGATGACCACATGCACAGGGAAGAGAAAAATACATGGCAGTACAGATTCATAAAGGGTGACTTACTAGACTCTGTCAAAGTAAATAAGATAAATGTATAAATATATATTAACCTCCCTGGCAGTAATTCTGAGCATGGCTCGAGGTAAAATTTCAGTACCAAAAGTGGTAACCCCGAGCCATGCTCGGGATTACACTGTAGTATCCATTACCTTGTCCCTACGAGCCCCTGGTGTCCTCCCGCTGTGTCCAATGCCGGCATCCGTTTTTTGGGTTCCCTTTCCCCGCGAGCATCACCTGGTGGAACCAGGCAGTAAATAAAAATAAGAAAACACACAAACTACACAGTGTAAAGACAATGTACCGCTTTAATATTAAAAAATACTGAGATAATTAGACAGCCAGGGAGGTTAAACGTTTTTTTATATGTATACATCTACATGTGTACTTTAGTTCACTTTTCTGTTTTTTTTATTTTTGTTTTTTTGTACTTTGCCCTCTTTTTACTTGAAAGGAATCCTCCAACTTGAAGGCTGAGCTTGAGAAGGCACGTGGCTATGTTGCCAAACTCCACAGTTCAATCAAAGAGAAAGAAAAGCTTGAACAAGAACTCAAGAGCAACTTGAAAAAGATCCAGGATTCCTCTGAACAAGATAAAAAACTTCAGAAAACCGAGATCGAAGCACTAACTGCAAAATTAGCACAAAAGGTAACGATACTGGAGAGATAATATGGATTGTTAGACACTGCAGATTGATTGTGTATTTGTCTCCCATCAGTTTCTTAATATAACCTACACGTTCTCAGGATCCATAGTAAGAAACCACTATAGGTTCACATGTAAACGGTCATAATTTTCAATTAATAGCGAAGTATTTTTGGGATAATGAGGAAGTTGTATAAAATTCTCTGGTGGAAAATGAGACTGTCTGCAGAAACATCCTTGGTTTCTATGGTGAAATCAATTTACCCAACTATAACTTTGCACAACTGCTGCCTTTTATGCATAACTCCAAATGTGCATATAGCTTTAAAAGGTTACTCCCTTTTTGCAGTCACTTGTCTCCCCTTACCCCCTTCCTCCTCCATGTTTTTAAAATTAGAAACCTTTAATATAATGTAACATTTATCTGGAATCCAGCCTAGCCTACTTTGACGTCACCCTGGGATGGTTGTGAAAATAGCCAGTGATTTGGACTCTGTGCATGTGCCTACTTTTTACTGGTTACTGTTGCAGCCTGTGTGCAAGACAAGAAGCTTCTTTGTGTGCGTACTGACGATGGGTGTTTTTTTTTGTTTATATTGTTTTTATTTTTATGCAGAGGACTCAAGGACTCATGAGTCAGTCTAGAACAGATTTCTGGGCTGACTTCCTGGCTGGGTCACTTGTGCCAGATGTATGACTACGCTCTAATGCAAAATTTACAAATGTTTTCATATAGGCAGCATTTTAAGCGGAAATACTGCACATACAGAGTGCTTTCACCTTGACAGCTTTAATAAGTGTGCATAATCATATCAATATATCTGTTTAAAATCTATATCTTTTTTTTTATTTTTTTTGTCTGTAATCATTTAAGTTGTTTGGAGAACACTGTTAATACTGTTTACACTATTCATAAAACAACTCATGGGTTAAAGGGACACTGTAGGCACCCAGACCACTTCAGCTCATTAAAGTGGTCTGGGTGCTGTGTCCCTATTGCACTTAGTGCTGCAATGTAAAACATTGCAATTCCAGAGAAACTGCAATGTTTACTTTGCTGCACTAAGTCTGCCTCCATTGGCTGTCTATCAGACAGCAACTAAAGATGCTTGCTGGATGTTAATGGTCTTTTGGTCTGGAAACTGACGCTGGACATCTTCACGCTTTGCATGAGGACATCCAGCATTGGCTTTTTTTTTTTGCCATAGGAAAGCATTGATTCAATGCTTTCCTATCATGATGCCTAATGCGCGCACTGCACTCGGCGTGGGACTTCTGAGGAGGCGGAGCCATGATCCAGCGCCAAGGGACATTAACGCTGGGATCAGGTAAATAAATAAAGGGTTTTTAACCCTTTATTCACCGGGGCGAGCAGAGCGGAGCTATAGTGCTTTTCTGGTACTATAGTATCCCTTTAACATAAAACTTTTATCTTGAAAGCTAGAACAACAAAAAAAGATAATTTGGACAAGAAAGTGACAGAATTAGTTGTAGTTAATCCTAGCCACTCACCCTTTTAATTTATAAATACCCATTTTTTTTTTAAAATCTGACATATCTGGGATTAATATTTTTTTGTAACTTTTTTTATAATTCATTAATTAAAATTAGGTAAAAAAAATCCAACCTGATTTAAGTCATTATATAATTCAATCTGTGAGATGACTAGCTGTATTAAAAGTTACATGTGCTTTGTGAGATTTGTTTTGTTTTTTTGCTTTCAGGTAGAAGAAGAGGGAGTATTACAGCAACAAATAATTTCTGTGAAGAGTGATCTGGATACTGAGAAGAAAAAGCTTTCTGATCTGGAGAAAGCTAATGGAGCCTTGCAAGAAAAATTCAATTTGTTGCAGTCAGATATGTATGGGAAGGAGTCTGAAGTGTCCGCAATACAGCAGGATCTGAAAGTAAGATTTGGAATTTGTTTTTGTTTACTTGAGTGAAAGGGAAGGATTATATTGCTATAGCAGTGAATGTTCTGGCTAGAGGTTTGCATGTAAAAGCCTACATTTTGCCATTTAGTTTTCAGTTCACTACAATTTGAAGTTTGGTGAATAACCTGTTTTTCGTTCCCAAGAAAGTTAAGAACTCCCATCCATCCAGGTTTGGAATTAAAGTTCCTGAACAAATTCTTTAGGGTTTCCCAACATTTTACCTCCTTAATCCAGAGGGACAATTAGCAACTCCTGTAAATTTCTGAAATATGTAGCCCCAAATCCATCCAGATCAATGCTGGTTTCTGTGTGACTTTTTAACAGTTCTATATGCTTTACATTTTCATACAGGATGTGCCTTGTGTCTTCTGTTTCATTAAAAGTATACTACTAAGCATATACTTGAGTTACATAGAGAGAACATTAAATGAAAAGAGTGTAAATTGTGCAAAAAAAACAACCCATATTTATTTTCCACTACTGAAGCCAACTCAAACAACTAAGATTGAAGTTTATTTATTGCCTAACTTTTTATTTCTGTAATAAATACATTTTCGTTGGATTACAGTCTGCAGAAGAAAAGCTTGTCCTGGCACAAGAAGAACTGAAGTCTAATAGGAATGAAATAAACAGGCAGAATAACGTGGTCCAGGAACTTACCACTTTGAAGGCTACCATGGAGCAGGACATAGCTAAAAAAACAAGCCAAGTGAAACAGCAGGAAAAGACCCTGAAAGAATTACAAGAACAGAAGGTATGTTATGGAGGAGCTCTGTCCAATGTTAAGTTTTGGAATGCTACTAAACAACACAGCGTAAACTCTTCACTGTGCTGTCCAAAACCGCATGATTTCCTAATGCAGGCGCACTAGTTTACATTCCAAAATTTAATGTATAGTGACAAACGACCATGGATTTGAAGGTAAACTTAATTTTGGGCCAAATGGGAAAAATAATCAACTGTATTCTAATTTCCTAGCTAGTTCAAAGTAAATGAAAACCCGAAGAATAAATGCACGTGGAAAGGAACACGTTCTTGGCTGTTTTTTTTGGTACAGAGTTTTAAAGATTTATAATTTAAAAAAATAAATAAAAAATCTTTTAACTGTATTTTGCAAAATTGTAAAATATTTGCGCTTTAACCCATACATGGTTAAAGTGCAGGAGCTTATCATTGACTTAAGGATAGAGTACAACGAGTTGTCATTAATGGTACATTTTTAGGCTGGACAAAAGTGGTAAGTGGTGTCCCTCAGGGTTCTATTTTGGCACCGCTTCTATTTAACATATTCATAAATAATCTTGCAAAAGGCATTGAAAGCCACATTTTAGGATTTGCAGATGATACAAAACTTTGTAAAGTAATACCCTAAATTGTAGTGAATTATGGATAACCACACTCAAGAAGGATTTGGGAATTGTTATAGACAATAAATTAGGCAGCAATATGCAATGTCAATCTGCAGTTGCTAAGGCCAGTAAGGTTTTGTCATGTATAAATAGGGGCATAAATTCTAGGGATAAAAATATAATTTTGCCTCTTTCTAAATCCCTGGTAAGACCACACCTTGAATATGCTGTGCAATTTTGTCCACCTGTTCTAAAGAATGATATCATGGCACTAGAAAAAGTGCAGAGACGAGCTACAAATTGATAAAAGGAATGGAGCACTTAAGTTACGAAGAAAGGTTAAAAAATTTAAATCTCTTTAGTTTGGAAAAACGGCACCTCAGAGGGGATATGATTACATTATACAAATATATTCGGTGCCAGTACAAACCATTATCTGGAAATCTATTCATAAACAGGGCTATACATAGGATATCCTTTAATCTGGAAAAAAGGAGATTTATTTTAGGCAAAGAACAGTGTTGTGTGTTTTTTTTTTTGTTTTTTTTTACAGTAAGAGCAATAAGGGTATGGAGTTCTCTGCCTGAAGAGGTGGTTTTATCAGAGTCCATGTAGATGTTTAAACAGCAATTGGATAAATACTTCCAAAAACATAACATACAGGGATATAATTTCTAAGTAGTGGGGTTATAGCTGGTTGATCCAAAGAGATATACGACTGCCATTTTGGGGTCAAGAAGGAATTTTTTCCTAGTTTGTTGCAAATTGGATGCGCTTTAGACTGGGTTTTTTGCCTTTTTTTGGGATCAACAGCAAAAACATATGTGAGGAAGGCTGAACTTGTAACTATCTTTAATAGCATAAAAGGATACTATAGGCAGCAAATCAAGCTTACCTTAATGAAGCTGTTTTGGTGTATAGGTCGTGCCCCTGCAGTCTCACTTCTCAATTCTCTGCCATTTGGGAGTTAAATCCAGGCAGTTTTATTGTCAAACTCCACCACAGCTACAGCAGCAAATGAAAACAAAAATGTAACAAAATCCTATAAACAAAAACCTAGCTCGGTCTGAGCACTAACTGACATCAAGTTCCCTCTCTCTCAAGGGTTTAATCTATAACAAAACAAGAAGTGGTTTCACCAACCTAGCGTCTTTTTCAGCTCTCAGCACTCCAGTGTTTTTGACAGCCTGCTTCTTCCCTTGCTACACTCCCAGTGCTCCAAGCCAGCCTTGACTGCTTTCCTTTTGCACTCCCAGTGCTCCAAGCCAGCCTTGACTGCTTTCCTTTTGCACTTCCCAGTGCTCCAACAACACATACTCCCCCTGGGGTTAAATGTTATAGGCCTATCTGCCTTCACTTTATCACAGTGTGTTTATGCTGCACTAGCCACACCTCCCCTGGCTGTGACTGACACAACCTGCATGAAAAAAAGGTTTAATTTTCAATCAGATGTTTACATTTCTTTATAAGTTTTTATGTCCTGCTCTGTAAGTTTAACTTTAATAAGACACATGAGGCTCCTGCTGGCTCAACATTTAAACTCCTAAATGGCAGATAATTGAGCGTGGGCATGATCTGTACACTGTTAAACTAAAGTTGTTTCGGTGCTTACAGTGTCCCTTTTAGGCCAGGAGACTGGGCATCTTCTTCCCTATTTAATCCACTGCAAGACAAAATGCTGGGCAGCCTCTGGACCATAGTAAACTTTCAAGACCAGTAGATGGTGTGCTTTACTAATCCAAGTTACACTGTGAAGCCAGCTTGTGATTCTGAGTGCTAAGTGCTAGCCATTACTTTATGGAATCATTACTGGCCTTTATGGTATCACTGTACTTTATTTCAGGCCTCAGCTGAAAAAGAGTTGAATGATGAGAAACTGAGAGCAACTAGTTTAAGTTCTCTGAAGGAAGAACTTGAGAAGGACTTAACCAAGAGGAGAGAGGAACTTAAAAGTTTTAAAGAGGAGTACCAAAAGGTAAAAACTTGTTTTGGTGATTATTTTTTGACTATGTTACACAAAAATAACCCCTACCTGGCTAAATTCTAGAACATGAATGGTTAACCTTGGCACCCTAAATGTATGTGAATTACATTTCCCATGAAGTTGGCTGGCTAAATATTATGGAAAATGTAGTTGACAGGCAATTGGGGTGCCAAGTATAGCGGTCACTGTGCACCACTCCTCTTGCCATACTGTGCTGTTGCCTATCCAGACTGCAGCACCCCAATGCATTGAAACATCTAAGCATATGTGATTTGGCCTACAGAAAACAAGCAATTTTGAAGAAGCAAAACAACTATTGATTCAGCAGAAGTTGGAACTTCAGGGCAAACATGACAATTTAACGTCCACAATTCAGCAGGAGAAGAAAGTTCAGCAGAGTCTAAAAGATGACATGAAAAGAAAGGAGGAGGAATGGAAGAAACATAGCATTGAGCTCAAAGATAAACTGGTAAGAAAGCTTATGTTTTTATGTGTTTATTAATGTAAACCATGTTGTCAGGACGTGTATTGGTTGAGTTTTTATATAAGCATGCACCCTCAGATGCAGATCGGGGAGCTTGTGTACTGTGAACAGAAAAGTGGGGCTATCACCATGGAAACCAAAAAAATCTGCAAGCTCCTTCTGTTGGAGATGACTCCACTTTTTCAGATGTCAACAATTGTATAAATCTCCTCCACTATAATCTCCATGGTCTTTGGTTAGGAGTGCTTCTGTCAAAAATGGATTTAAAGATGGCTGCAACAGTAACCCTGGAAAGCCACTTAAATATGTTATTTACTTAAATGTATGCCTCATGAAATAACGCACACAGTGGTAATAATACATCTAAACTGTAGTTTTAAAAGTAAAATTGATGACTGTTTCTAATAAACTTAAAATATAGCTTCTGTGAACTTGCTGCTCTCATACTGCGTAAGACAAGTGAAGGGGACACACACAGGGGGACAGCACGCTCGTCATCTCCAGACTTGCGATGAAAGAAATATCTGCCCTGTTCCTTAGTTCAGACTACCTTAGTCACTGAGCGGGCATCTTCATTTTAGGGTCTGAAAATGTGTATGTAACTGCTCCGGTAGCAGATACTTATATTGCAGATCTATTGGAAAGGAAACTAAACAACCTCCAGCAGGTGGCAGCCTCCTGGGAAATAACCTGGTTTCTAGCAGACCATTCCAAAACTGAACACAAATGAATACATATAGCAGCTTGTATCTCAGAGGATTTATAAAACATTCTCTGTTGACCAACCCTGTACACAGCTATTTGCACTTCCCTAAATCCTATGTAGAGCTGGCTGCTATTTTTGGAGTTACGTGTTTATACGACATTTTGTTCCAAAACTAATGAATCAATACTTCTGATGCTTTTCTTTGTTGGAGATCGATGTATCATTGATAAACCTTTGATCCTATGTTTTTAGAATTGTGCAAATTTAAGTTTAACGATTATCTTAAATTTTCAAAAAGCATAACCTGCATTTGACCGTAATTGTTGCCAATAAAGAAATTTAATTCTAGATTGGGATCTTGTCTCCAGGTAAATATTATCTCTTCAAGGTGTCTTTTGTAATATTCGACAATTTAAAAACTTTACAAGAGAAGTGTCTGTTGGCCTGGGTGTGTTGGCAAAATTCAAGTTAATTATTAAACGCAAAGAGTTATTTAAGTGATGATTCACAGTCAATGAGGTTTATTCGCAAAACCTGGAGAATTTATATTTATAAGGAATTTCTAATTTAACTCTAAATGACTGGGCTAGAAAAAAAATTCAACTTGATATTTTGCCGTCTTGGATATTTTTAGTTAAAATGTGCAATTCTTTTGTCAATTCTCCACATTCCCAGATTTAGAGAATAAATCTCCCTATGTATCCCATAATTATTGGATAATGTATATGATTTTGTCTAACTGAAATAGTTTTTCTGTACTTTTCATATTTGTGGTGTCTTTTATAAGCTCCATTTTAAAAAAGAATGTTGTGTGGTTGTAATGTTACATTGCAAAGTCCTATTTTAGTCTACTAATAACTTACTTAAACACTGCACTAGTCGGTACGTACATAAGCAGATTAAAATGTGACTTAAACCTATACATTGTGCAATACATCCTATGTATAGATAGGAAGCTAATAAGAGTTATCTGAATAAAACTGTACTGTTAATCTCGTGCTTTGAACACACAACTCTTGGTAGTGTCCTGGAAAGACTGCCTTCAGCCAAAGACACTACATTTGGTACTATTTGGTATACTACAGGAATTCAGGGCATTAGAAAGGCATTAAATTAATCATGGGTAATACCACTGGGTGCGCAATCACACATCAAGGTGGAAAATTAAAGGAATAATAGAAACCAAATAAACAGATAACTGCTTCCAGGAGGGTAGAGAGCAGCTGCTATAGAAGCAATGAGAGAGACGTTAATCGAATCAGCCTATAGCCAGCAAAAAATAAGCACTGCTCTGAAAATAATTGAGACTCGAATCCAACATGTCTGTGCCCCATCGGCCCCGAGTCCTTATGCAGGCCATAACACCAGTCTAACGAGTCCCATCGCTGGTAACGATGTGAACTTGGTCTCGAGGCTCTCTGTCAGGCTGTTTACTAGCCGGATGCATTTTGACTTTCCCCACATGGGTCTTGGCCCTGGAAGATAGTGGTTTGCTCTAGGGTCGGGCCTCCGGCACCTAAGTGCTTTCTGAGGCTTCCGTATCAGTTTCTTTACCAGCCATGCCGTCGTGGAGCTTCTCCCGGCAGGGCCGCAGTCCATGAACATTGCGTCGTGGGTCAGGCTGACCATCAGGAGCAGCATCCAGTCTTTCTATGCGTTGCTGGATTTGCAGCCAGAATTTCACCCAGATGTTATCAAAGGCCTTTGTAAGGCATTCCTCATGGGAGCTGGAAGCTTCCCATTGGCGGCCATCTTAGCACGCTGTGTGCAGGGAGGTATCTTCAAGGAAATCACCACAGGTAGCAAAGATGTGTGTCTGCCCTCCAGTGGGGACCGGGATGACCCCCGCCGGTTCAAGTGGGGAGGGGGGTAGGAGCACGATGGGTCCACACTTTCGACCCATGAATGTGGAGAGCAGCCGTCCCTTTCCCACCCTAGTCTTATGCAGGCGTGTCCAAACATACAGCTACCGTCCGTCTGCAGATTCAGCTCAGAAGAATTGCCACGGAGGCTCACAAGTTGGTGAAAGTTGTTTCCGTTTAGTAAAAAAAAACAAAAAAACAGCGATTGTCCGGTAAAACATCCTAATTTAGCAATAAGTTACCGGAGCTCAGCTAAGATGTGTCCGGCCAGCTCTGCAGTCAGGCTTTGCCCCCAGGAGTTTACCCATTTTAAAACCTTAAGTTACTTATATGAGTCTAAATCCAGATTTGGGACAGCCCGCACACACAAGAAAAATACAGTTTTAAATTTTACAAGTCTATTTAAAATCACCTATCTTGACAAATTAATAGGACGATTTAGTTTTAATATATGGCTATATTGTTTTACGCCCACTCCTACATTTATTTACCCGATTCTCGTCATCTGGGTATTCGCAGTACCTCTGGATATCGCTAATGTGGACATTTTCATTCTAATATTAGTTCTGCCTCTACTTCGGTATTAGTCATTGGCTGAGAGTGGTAGTTTATACCTCTGGATATCGCTAATGTGGACGTTTTCATTCTAATATTAGTTCTGCCTCTACTTTGAGATTAGTCATTGACTGAGAGTGATAGTATATGCCTCAGCTCTTTTTGAGTAAATAGCTCTGTATGCCTCACTTTTCCTGAATAACTAGGACTCCTTAATGAACACTTCAAGCACCATAACAACTACAACCAACTCTCTGTAGTGGTTGTAGTGCCAGAATTGCCCTGGTAATTCCGTGTTCCGTGATAAGATGTAAAGCAACTGGGTTCTGCCAGGCCCCTGTACGGCATCTGGTCTTCTACTGTAGGATTGCTCTACAGAACAAAGCCTGAGAGCTGCATTGACTGTACTTTGGCCATCAGACACATTTGGCTTCTCCTGCGCATTTGATACAACTTAGGTATGTTGTAAGAAAATGCTAAAACAGATTCACATGTTAACATGGAATGGCATGAAAGATCTCTCTTAAGGTGTACAAGATTTATCCTTTTCCCTTTATGCTCATATCTAATAGGGAACGGTCAATTCTCATTTTAAACCTCTCCACCTCTCCGCCAGTCGTGAATTTATCCTATTATATTTGTTTACATTCTTTTTTTTTTTTTTTTTAAACAGCATTTGGTCTCTAGTTATAAATGACCTGCATCCTTTTATGTGTTTTATGTATCAAGATAACAGAAGCAAAAGAAAAAGAAGAGCAAAAAAAGACATCTGAGGAAAATGAGTCCAAACTAAACATGCAGATCACTGCGTTGAATGAGAACATTGCGACACTCAAGAAGGAGTGGCAGAGCAGCCAGCGCCGCGTTGGTGAGCTGGAGAAGCAGACGGATGAGCTGAGGGGAGAGATTGCAGTGCTAGAGGCAACTGTCCAGAATAACCAAGACGAAAGACGTGCTCTTCTAGAAAGGTAGATTTCTTTCTTGAAAATGTTTTGCAGACTTTGATATTAAAGTCCACCTGGTCTTTAATCATTTACCTACACATGCAATTCTAAAACCAACAAACTAAAAACTCCTTTTGAGACCTGTTTTCATATGGATTGAGTGTTTGAGACCTGTTTTACATCTAATTAAAACATGTTTGACTACAATCCAAACCTATACTCGCAGATCCAGGCTATTAATTTTATTAAAAAAAATTAACCTTTTGCTCTTACCCTTTTAATTGTCTTTCAGGTATCTTAAAAGCGAGGGAGAAATTGAAAAACTTCAAGCCAAAGTAGTAGAGTTAAGGAAGAAAGTAGACGAAACGTCGTATGCAATGGAGGAGCTGGGCAGAGAAAACCAGTCTTTACAGGTAGTGTATGACAAAACATTGACTTTATATATGTATAGTAAGCAATAGCCTGCCTACCCCCATCAGTCTCACCCCTAGTCTTCAATCATTAAGCAGTGCCTTAAAAACCCTCTCTTTAGGAAAGCTTATGGCCTCCCTCAGTCACCTCTACCTCACATACCTGTCTCTTTCTCTCTCCTAAAGGGCAGCACTCTACTCTCTCCTCCAGCTCTACTTCACGCCCACATTATTTGATTTCCTGTCCTAATGTGTTTTATACCCCACCTCCTATATACTGTACGCTCGTTTGAGCAGGGTCCTCTTCAACCTATTGTTCCTGTAAGTTTTCTTATAATTGTCCTATTTATAGTTAAATTCCCCCTCCTTATAATACTGTAAAAGGCTACGGAATCTGTTGGCGCTATATAAATGATAATAATAATAATATTCCTCATAAATAACTGCCAATAAAAACAGGCACATTTTATTTACATTTCAGTGGCTAGGCCTTAAAGCCTAAGGAGATTACAACCATAATTGTATAAATATTTCATAAAGTTTATTTAAAAAAAAAAAAAAAGGTTTTAATGTTATCAATCACAAAATTGCCAGTCAGTCTTAGATGACCAGAACGCCTTTTAGTTAAAAAACATTTGCCATCATATCCTTCCTCAGAACTTGACCCAGAGGATGACATGTGCCCCAGTGTTTTAAAACACTATGATGAATAATTAGAAAGAAAGACGTTAATAAAAGGGGAGGTAGTGGTTCTTCGTGCTGCTCCTGACTTTGTAACAGCTGACATTACTACACTTGCTCTACTGAAATTTATTCTTGCTTAGCTTCCCGTTCTTCTCTTGCTCGCAGCCTGCATCCAATCCTCAGCCAGCTCTTGTCACCACTTCTGCCCAGCTACCTGTCTAACACTGCCCAACATAACAAGGGGTCATAAACTTTTCCTATCTGTCCTTGTTCCACACAACAAGGACAGATTAACCCTTTTATACCATCATACATAAATACCACAGTGCTTAATGCCTGTGCATTGATTTTTAATACAGCACCATGCAATATCTGATCCTATTACGTGTATGTAGTAGAAAATCACATGCAGTGACACACACTCAAACATCCCAACTTGCAAAAATTTCTGGGAGGTTGCCTCAACAGCTTCGGCGCCACCCGACCCCATGCGCGCACCCTCTCCCCACACAGACACACATCCCACAAACATGTAGGAACACAGAGATACATGCACTGGCACATACACACTGACACACAGATACACGCATTGAAACACACTCACTGACACACAGATACACGCATTGAAACACACTCACACTGACACACAGATACACGCATTGAAACACACTCACACTGACACACAGATACACGCATTGAAACACACTCACACACACACTCCCACTGACACATACATTCAGATACACACACACACACACACACACACACACTCATTCATATACAAACACACACTGACATACTCAGATACACTCAGACACACACACTGGCACGTCCACTCAGACACACACACACTGGCACATACACTCAGATACACACTGAGATACACACACAGACACATAAACTGAGATACACACACTGGCACATACATACACACAGATACACACTGACCCAGAGATCCGCACACTCAGGTACACACACTGACCTACAGATCCACACACACTCACACTGACACAAACACTCAGATACACTCTTGGTCCTGGCCTAGGCTGATTAGAGTGAGCATGCAGTAGCAGTTCACTCCAGGCTCCCTTTTGCCTCAATGCTGCTGTATGCCTATGCTGACTGCATGCTGCCTCCTCCCTCCATTCCTCTTGTGCAGCTCTCTGTGAAGCAGGGAGGAAGTGACATGCTGTCCTCACTTCCTCAATGCCGGCTGATACAATGGTCGGCTCTTAAGGGCCAGTCCTGCTTAGTGAGTATGAAGGAAGGGGGCACAAATCATGTATAATTTCCTGGGAATCAAGACACACAATCTGATATACATTGTATGTCAGATTGTGTGAGTGATTTCCGGGATATTATACATGATATGAGGGTGTCAGGCAATGAGGGAGTCTCTTGGAATTACTGGGAGACTTGGGATGTCTGCATACTTTTTTATTATAATAGCAGCAGTTAAGAACAAAGAACAATTCCCGAAACAACATCTCTGGCCAAAGATCCATAGCAAGGCATATTTACTCTAGAGATTGCAGATGCCCTGCTGTTCACAGAACACTGTTCTAGCAAAACAGCACTTTTATTAAGTGTATTGTGAAAACTATGAAGACCTACATGGTAGAAGAATCCATCTGGTAGAGCTTACTGCAAAAAAACTAAACAAATGCTAAAAACCTATATGATGGCAGTAGTGGTGTGTTTTTCATCTTAAAAGTCCGGTTATGGTGCCAACATTTAAAGTTAAAATTTGTGGTGAGAAGCGATACGTTTGAGATTTACTTAAAAAATGCTGTAAAACATTCTGTACTTTGCAGATTAAACACAGTCAGGCACTTAATCGGAAATGGACCGAGGATCATGAAGTTCAAAATTGTATGGAATGTGGGAAAGGGTTTTCTGTAACAATTAGAAGGGTAAGTATAAAAATGTCTGCCTGTGTGTTTTCTAGTCCTAATCCATAATATTTGGAAAAGAAGAAGAAACTGGTTTTGGAAATGGAAAGAAAAACATAGCACCATATGTTTCTCTCACTTTTTCTTTGCCTGTTGTGGTTTTCTAACAGTACCAGGTAAAGTATTAAAGGGACACCGTAGGCACTGTATCTGCTTCATCTCATTAAACTGGTTATAGTGTATGGAGTCCCCTGGTATCATCATTTCTTTCAGCATTAAACAGTTTTTAATGTTTTAATGTTTTAACGCTAAACAAGAGTCCCCGGCAGTCTATCCCATCTGTGCAGCTTTGGCTAATAAGGAAGTATTAGCCTGAGCAGCAGTGGACAGCTGTGATTGGCTGAGTGTCAGCTGACTGCTTTCAGCCTGTCAGAGCTCCAACTGACGGTATGAATGGGTATAAGAACAATCTCTGCCTTAGCTACACATACAGAAGGGGCTGGACTGTAGGTGGCCAGGGACTCTTATGTTGTGGCATACTGCACGAACATGGTGCAACACTGAATGGAGGGACAGTGCCAGGGCACTCCAGGCACTATAACCAATTCAAAGAGATGAAATGGTTATAGTGACTACAGTGTCCCTTTAACTAGGCAGTTGCAAACGTTAAGCTGGAAAATCTCTCCAGCTCAGCTGGTTTTCGTATTTTGGCTGAAAGTTTGCAGTTCTTTGGGCAATGCTTATGATTTCCTAATTTTTACATCTTTCTCTATGTCCTCTTTGTACTATCTCTTTCATCTCTTTGTTTGTTCCTGCGTGTTTTGCTTTTTTTCTTTCATAACTTTCTTTCACCACTGTGTGCTTTGGGGTCTACGTGTGGATCCAGTACACACAGCTAGTGCTGCTAATTGCTTCGAATTTATTAATAGAGGGTCCGTGTGATGCAAACACAGCTGCCAGAATAAAAGGATTACATCTGACTCATCTAACACAAAAATCCATCATGTCACTTTCAATAAAATGTTTGTAAAGAACCAAGTGCTTCATTAGAGAGGCATAATCAAGACTTTGTTTTCTTTAACAAGGCACCATATTTTTTTAATTTTTTTTTAAAGATATTTCATTTTTATAGTTCTAGTGAGTTTGCTCATGGTCCTAAAGATCACAACTGTTCTAATTGTGTTCCTGTTTTTCTGTCTGCCTTTGAGGTGAACAATAAGCAGATATAGGCATTTGGTGAAAAGAAACACAGACTTGAGAACAGAGCACAGTGATATACAGTAGTTTAGGACATAAAGTTTAGAACTTGTTGCGAAGATGTGCATTGTATGTATTTTAGTTTGACACATTGAGTTTAGTTTAAGCTCTGTCTATTTCCACATTGAACCTTCATACAAAAAAATACCATGCGATACCTCCAACTAAAATGTGTTTTTCAGTGACCGTTTTTCTAGAGCCCTTACCGCAGTAATATTGTGGTACTATTATTGATCTATGTTATATATACAGTGTGCTATAGAAGATGCTAGCAGATACGTAGGAAAAATTATATTCGTTGACAATTTTAACTTGAGTTTCTAAACCAAAAATGGTTGAATGTAGAAATTGAGCTTTTTGTAGAATTACAAATTCCGTAATGCTCTCCTTTTTTCTGTTGTGATGTATTTATAATGCACTTACTGCAATTGCTCACTCCTGCTTTAAAGGAACTTTGCATTATTGCAGAGTTAATGGACCACTATTGGCACCCAGACCACTTCAGCTCAATGAAGTGGTCTGGGTGCCAGGTCCATCTAGGATTAACCCTTTCTCTGAAACTGCTATGTTTACAGCAGAAACTGCTATGTTTACATTAGGGTTAATCCAGCCTCTAGTGGCTGTCTCATTGACAGCCGCTGTAGGCGCTTCCACGCTTCTCACTGTGATTTTCACAGTGAGAAGACGCTAGCATCCATAGGTAAGCATTGAGAATGCTTTCCTATGGACTGGCTGAATGCGCACGCGGCTCGTGCTGTGCATGCACATTCAGCCGATGACGAGGAAAGGAGGCGGAGAGTCCCCACCGCTGAGGGAGCCCGGCGGTGGAGAAAATTTATGTGTTTAACCCCTTCCTCACCCTAGAGCCCGGCGGGAGGGGGACCCTAAGGGCCAGGGGGACCTAGAGACCCTATAGTGCCAGGAAAATTAGTATGTTTTCCTGGCACTATAGTAGTCCTTTAATGGTGCTTAGAGCAGCCCAAGCCTAACTCCGTGTCTGAGAGTGGCTTACACACTTCCTTCTAGGTTTTTTTCCCCTATTGTGAGAATGCTGTGCTGATACCAAAACAAAAGATCATCATTATATAATTAAACTCTAGTTATCTTATTTGATGATTGGAACTGCTATTTGGGGGTAAATTATGTATCCTGTAACCCACTGCTTAACAAATGATTGAGATATCAATCCCCATAATTCACTGTGAGATACTCGTGATCAGGTCATCTCATTCTGGTTTGGGAAGGGCTTGCCTGTAACTGCAGACAGACTTTAAGCAGTGCACGGTGTCACCAGTGATGTCTATATGCAAGTTGATCGCTCAAATGGATGAAAGAGTTGACGTTGCCTTTAGTGGCTCTTTGAATATATGATATTGGTCCATGAATTGCAACTTCTGCTTTTACATCTCACTATGCTTCACACTAGGATATAAACTGATCAGCTACAACATTATAACCACTGCCAGTTTAACTGAATATCATTGATTATATTGTTACAATGGCACCTGTCATGGGGTGGAATATATTAGACAGCAAGTGAGCAGTTCCTTTCTTGAATTTCATGCATCAGAGCTGTTTTAGCAACACGAGGGGGTCCCATTTGAGATTAGGCAGGTGGTTTTACAGGGAGTGCAGAATTATTAGGCAAGTTGTATTTTTGAGGATTAATTTTATTATTGAACAACAACCATGTTCTCAATGAACCCAAAAAACTCATTAATATCAAAGCTGAATATTTTTGGAAGTAGTTTTTAGTTTGTTTTTAGTTATAGCTATGTTAGGGGGATATCTGTGTGTGCAGGTGACTATTACTGTGCATAATTATTAGGCAACTTAACAAAAAACAAATATATACCCATTTCAATTATTTATTATTACCAGTGAAACCAATATAACATCTCAACATTCACAAATATACATTTCTGACATTCAAAAACAAAACAAAAACAAATCAGTGACCAATATAGCCACCTTTCTTTGCAAGGACACTCAAAAGCCTGCCATCCATGGATTCTGTCAGTGTTTTGATCTGTTCACCATCAACATTGCGTGCAGCAGCAACCACAGCCTCCCAGACACTGTTCAGAGAGGTGTACTGTTTTCCCTCCTTGTAAATCTCACATTTGATGATGGACCACAGGTTCTCAATGGGGTTCAGATCAGGTGAACAAGGAGGCCATGTCATTAGATTTTCTTCTTTTATACCCTTTCTTGCCAGCCACGCTGTGGAGTACTTGGACGCGTGTGATGGAGCATTGTCCTGCATGAAAATCATGTTTTTCTTGAAGGATGCAGACTTCTTCCTGTACCACTGCTTGAAGAAGGTGTCTTCCAGGAACTGGCAGTAGGACTGGGAGTTGAGCTTGACTCCATCCTCAACCCGAAAAGGCCCCACAAGCTCATCTTTGATGATACCAGCCCAAACCAGTACTCCACCTCCACCTTGCTGGCGTCTGAGTCGGACTGGAGCTCTCTGCCCTTTACCAATCCAGCCACGGGCCCATCCATCTGGCCCATCAAGACTCACTCTCATTTCATCAGTCCATAAAACCTTAGAAAAATCAGTCTTGAGATATTTCTTGGCCCAGTCTTGACGTTTCAGCTTGTGTGTCTTGTTCAGTGGTGGTCGTCTTTCAGCCTTTCTTACCTTGGCCATGTCTCTGAGTATTGCACACCTTGTGCTTTTGGGCACTCAGTGATGTTGCAGCTCTGAAATATGGCCAAACTGGTGGCAAGTGGCATCGTGGCAGCTGCACGCTTGACTTTTCTCAGTTCATGGGCAGTTATTTTGCGCCTTGGTTTTTCCACACGCTTCTTGCAACCCTGTTGACTATTTTGAATGAAACGCTTGATTGTTCGATGATCACGCTTCAGAAGCTTTGCAATTTTAAGAGTGCTGCATCCCTCTGCAAGATATCTCACTATTTTTGACTTTTCTGAGCCTGTCAAGTCCTTCTTTTGACCCATTTTGCCAAAGGAAAGGAAGTTGCCTAATAATTATGCACACCTGATATAGGGTGTTGATGTCATTAGACCACACCCCTTCTCATTACAGAGATGCACATCACCTAATATGCTTAATTGGTAGTAGGCTTTCGAGCCTATACAGCTTGGAGTAAGACAACATGCATAAAGAGGATGATGTGGTCAAAATACTCATTTGCCTAATAATTCTGCACTCCCTGTAATGTTGTGGCTGATCGGTGTATGCGCATGGAAAAATAGTAAGCAGTATTGAACATTTATAACTAAAATGTGTGGAAACAGTTTCTTCATTTACTTAAAGGAACACTACAGCTTTAGAAATACAGACATGTATTCCCAACTCAGTAGTGTTCTGCTTGTTTAGATTTAAGAGAGGAAGAAGGGTTGTTACTTACGTTTTTCCGGCATCAAGATTCACTCTGTGCTGCTGCCCACTCTGCCTCCTATGACATCGTTCTACGGGCTTTGCTTCTTTGTCGTCTTATCCATTCCAGTGCTTCTCTATCAGAAGCATTGGTGTTGAGAAAATTATGCATGGCAAGTGCCATGCTTGTCTAGTCGAATGCTTCATATAGCATTAAACCCAGTGTTTCCCTATGATTAAGATTTGATAAAGTTTTATGCCAAATGTCACATAACCGAGTGAAACTCAGTCGTTGATGCAAAAGCACCCTCTAAATGCTGACAGGAGGATGGTCACTAGAGATGTGCCAAGCCCTTAAATCAAAACATTGCTGTATCTACTAAATAGCAGTGTTTTACATTGCAGGATTGAAATGACAGGAGCACTGCACACAAACCACTTCATTGAGATGAAGTGGTCTGCGTGTGTTTAGTCACATTGTCTACAAAGAAACACTGCACCTTCGTAAAAGTAACCTGCTCTATGGCTTTCATCTTCCTCTGGTAACCTGAAGATATTAATCTAGCAGTACATAAAATGAAATTATAAGAGATAAGTTTAAAACGTTTTGTTGGTTTATTAGGCTTGATCACTGATTTGGAGATTATTATCACTGATTTTAATTACTGACTTAAATCATTGGACTCACGATAACCAGGAATGAATGACTGACATTATTTTACTTTTGTCTTTGCAGCATCACTGTAGACACTGTGGGAATATATTCTGTGCCGAATGTTCCGCAAAGAATGCCTTAACGCCTTCCTCCAAAAAGCCTGTCCGTGTGTGTAATACATGTTTTAATGACTTGCAAGGATAGGGACGGTTGTTTAGCTAGACTCTGCAAATTACATTTAGTATTTTTGGTAATGCACTTCGTAAAAAGCACTCAAAGTACTTATTCCTCTGGATGACGATTGTAAAATTCAACAATATAAAAAAAATATCTTTTGAAATGTTTTATTGATACAGATGTAAAAGTATTGTGTTTTTCATGAAATATGACCTTCATTCACTCTCTGCATCATGCTTTCTTCTTGGAAGATTACTCTTTGTTTTTAAGATTCAGTTTGTTTGGCTGCTTGTAAATATTAGCCTTACAGAAATGGAACTCAATGTGTTGTTTTTGTTTTTTATACTTCAGTAAATCAGGAAACACTTCTGTATAAAAGCTTAGATATTTTTATTTCTTTATAGCAAGGCTGCAAAACAAGAGGGTTTAATTATTTTTTTTTATACCTAAGTAAGCCAATAGCAACATAACCCAGGTGCCATACAAAAATAATACAAAATGGTGATTCTAATTAAAAATATCCAGCGTGGTGTTGGCAGATCAGCATTTCTGTTCTTTACAGTAAGCTTTTTCAAGATATTGAACTAACCTTGTCACATTTACTACAGTATATCCCTCAGTATCAATGGTTAAATTATGGCTACTTGCTTCCTTCCATTTGTAACGGACCAATTGACTTTTTGAGCTCAGTGGTAAACCTTGGGGCAAATTTAACCTCTGGTGATCTTGAGTTAGAATCCGATTTCAATATGATACCTGAAACAGCTCATCCAAAAATTCCCATCTCCCCTGCTGTAAATGTGTAGGGGTTCAAGTTCCCAATAATCAGTCTATTTTGCTCAATCCTTTTTTTTTTTTTATTTAGAATTTTTATGTGTTTATTTATATATATATATATAATGTTTTTTTCCAGTATGAAATAATTCACAATTAGATAATTTCTAATTACAAGAGCTTCTAGGCAAATTTGATGTCACTATAAATCCACATCCCCTGTCTTTCCAGTAAATAAGACTCGCCGGGCAGGTTTTTTTTTTTATGTGACTGTAAAGTACATCTGATGTTTCTAATGATTTAGGAGTCTTCACTATTACTTATATTGCCTGTTGTTCGTTTTCTCACTTTATATTATTACTTTTTTCCACCAAGTTGCATTGGGGGATTATAAATAAACAGTGACTTGTGTTGACAACCAACTTGCAAATGTTGGCAAAACTAGCACATTTATGAGTTAGGATCTTTTATAATTCAACTTTGCTTTTTAAAAAAAAAAAAGTTTATTTTTTTTCCCTTCAGCTTTCCACTTATCATTGTTTAGCGATTAAACTCCCTTTATTCTGAAGTTATGTTACCACATCACGTGAGGACCTTATTGCAAATCACAGATTTGAAAGTAAGATTTGGCTTTCTAGATCTGCTGGTGTATCTTCTGTTTATGTAAAGGATCCCCCAAATCACTGTCTGTGAGTGAGAAAAATTTTTTTGTTGAGAATCTTAAAATAAATTTTATATTTTAGAGCAGGGGTTCTCAACGTTAGTCCTCAGGACCCCTTACCAGTCCAGGGTTTAGGGATTACCTGGGTGTGTCTAAGGTGTTTAGAAAAAGAAAAAAAAAACACCTTAGAGTCTAAGGTGTTTTTTTCCCTAAGGTGTTTTTTTTTTTTTGAGAACCCCTGTTTTAGAGCAAATTTGACACCTTTGGGCTTGAAGTATTATTACAGTGCCATGCTTACAATATTTATAAAATTGTATAATGCTTAAAGGATTATTGTCATCACATTTGCAATTCTCTCTCTTTTTTTTTTATTTTATTTTTTTTTAATTTTATTACTTTTAATGAAACCTGATTAGTGAAAATTAAGCTGTCATTAATTTGCATATTTACACATTCTATATTGTATAATCTGTTACAAATGTTACATTTGTAGCCTTGTGCTATGCAAATTTACCAAGTGTTTATTTGCAGCTATATAAAAGAGCCTGTACATTGATTGTACATTGTGAGCAACAAATACATCAAACGCCTTACTTTGTAGAAAAATACTCGATCTTCCTTTTTTTGGCACAGTAACATATTTTGGCCTGCACTTAAAGAAACACTCCAAGTACCATAACCACTATAATGCTATCAATTTGACTTCGTACCTGGTTTCCGCCTCCACTAATAATGTCAGAGAAATGTTAGTTCCTAAGCAGGAACTTCCTTAAACTCTCTTGAGCTGAGCCCCACATTGCAGGGCTTAGTTGATTGGCTGAGAGGGATCGGCTGATGCTATCCGTCCATAAACTAAGTACTACAGGACTTTACTCAGAAGAACTGATGAAAGTTTCTGCGTAGAAATTCCAGCTTTCTGCCATTAGTAATGGAGGCAAGGTGTGGCATATGGTTGACCCTAGGAAAGAATGCAAACCAGTGGTGGTTGGTCTAGTGCACTACTGGCACTATAAACACTGCATCAAACTGTATGGGTTATAGTTCTAGTGAGTGTCCCAGCGTAATGAATGATAAATTAAACACATTGCTCTTAGCATGTGTAGGTGCTTGGAGTGCCCCTTAACTTCATATAAATCTAAAAGAGTATCAGAATAGGAAGACGCATCATGATGCTATTATCCACTGACTGTGTGCCATCACATCCATCATAGATCTCTCCGGCTCCTATACTAGCTCTCCAACTCTAAGAACAGTGGAGCAGGGTGTGTTAATGATTGTTTAAGAAATACTCCAAGCACCATAACCACTGCAACTGACTATAGCCTCTATGTTTTTTAGGGGGGTGGGGGAGAGGTCATCTCACCCCTTCAGGTGGCGATACCATAGTGGGTTAGGTTGCAATTCTTCTTTTTTTAATTAATAGAAAATGTTCTTAGACTTAATTGGCTTGTTTGTGACTATTTGCTCTTTTACCTGGGTTCCAGATCAGTGCTGTGAGTCCTTCCTTCCTCTGATGAGGCATGTCAAGCTTCTTCTGCAAAAGCTGCATGTTTAAGCCAACTCCATTAATTGAAAGAGAGCATCAGCTGACCTATCTCTGCCAACGAATGGCACAATAACCACTTGAAATCACTGAAGTGGTCATGGTACTTGGAGTAACCCTTTAAATATACTGGTTATTTACAATAGGCCAATGAAAAACTGTACAGTTTGTACATGAACTTTATAAATCATAAATTAACTATCTCCTCAACTACAAGAGGACTGTGTAGAGTTGCTAAACAAGCAGGGCATTCTATGTTGGCCTGGCATATGATCTTTAGGAAACTGGTATAATTCTAGACTTTGTAGCTGGGTCACAATATAGCTACAAATCCCAAGCAATGCTAAGGCATATGTTTAAAGAAATACTCCAGCATTATAAACGCTAGGATGTTGCTGAGTTTATTCAGCCCCCTCCCATACCCCTTTACTTTAAAAAAATAAATTAAACCGTTTTTTAATCCAGTGGCAAGAGTATCCCTTCTTGCAACTCCACTCCATCCCCAGGCGATAATTCGTACTTTACAGAGAAGCAATGCAAAAGGCATGCGCAGTAATCGCCGCTCTGTGCCATCAATACTTCTGAGATTTTTTCTATTTAGGCTGTCATGCGGCATTTTGCCAGTTATGGTAGAAATTTCTTTTGTACCCTGTGGTGAAACATCGCTGTCATTTTTTTTAATATTTGTGAAAGATTCATGCTGACTGAAATTCCAACGTAATCCAAAGATACCATAAGAGAAGTAGAGACTACTTTGTCTTATGGTGAACCCCAAGGTTCACCATCAACTTTTGTTCAATCCCAGCAGCCGCAAAAGTGACTGATTTGCAGGATTCTACATAGACCTCAGTGTTGTACTCTTTCTTATAAGCTAAAGTACAGTACTGACTTGGCTTCTGGTACATAAAGGGCCAGGAGCTGAAGAGTGAGTCCTGGAAAAAGATGGTGATTCCATTGCACCCTAACTGGAGAAGTCACCTACAGGGTTTTTGCAAAATATGCATAGACCTCCTAAAGTGACCGATCCACTTTAACTACAAATTCTGAACGGTGCGAGATGGTATTGTATATTAGAAGGAACTATCAAATAAATATTCTGCACAGATTGCAACAACATAGCGTGAGATACATATTATATTAAATTGTTGTCCGGATCATTGTGGATATGTGTGCTTAAAAACTGCACTTAAAAGGAAGAAAATGATATCCAACAATTACTTTCTAAATTGTAATTATTGTGATTAAGTAGAGATTATCAAATGACCGGCATTTTAAAAATACTGAGCCCTAGATGATAAACCTAACATATAATTAATTGTAAATCAACTGAAACATATAATAATTTGATCCGTCCATGAAAACGATTACAAAACGTTCTTCGTGGTTTTGTCGTCTGTATTATTGTTTTTTTGTTTTTTTTTAAATGGATCTTAAATTGCATCCAATCTTGTTTGCCAGAACTACAAATTTGGATACACTTTATTCTAACTTAAAATAGATTTCAGATTAATTTCTAGTCATTCTAAACCTCTCTCAATATGAATTGGTAGTAAATATTGTAGATTTACTTAATATTTGTCACATATCTAGAGAATGGGAATACTTCCTTAATTTAAAGGCTAATATGAATTTTGGAATATATCGTCTATTGTATGTTGTAGCTATTTATTTTAGATGCTCAATGTGGAGCTGTCATTATGGAACCTGATAGTTTCTAAATGTTTCTCTTGTGCATCATCTGTCCAATTCTGGACAGCAAAGGTAGGTTCTGAACACTGTGGTAGCTCAGCCCAGCGCTTGCAGTCTATTTTTGATGTACAAATTTGGGTGGGTTTGAAAGAATAATGCAAGAGTGAAAACCCCACATTACCTCTGCAGCAGCACAAAGAATGGGTTGTGAATGCCATTAAAAAAACTGTTCAATAAAAGCCACAGTCAGTGCACCCAAATAATTATTTAACCATAACCACTACAGTTAGTTTGAATGGTCACATTGCTGGAGTGTCTCTTCCAGGGGTATGTTTGCACCTCGCCAAAAGACCGAAATCTCTTGGCGAGGTGAAAAAAATCATTGAAAATTTAAATTAAGGTTTCTTTTAAAATCATTAAAAATTTAAAATTAACCATTAATCTTCTGCATTTAATTTGCAGGCAGCCATCATTGGCTGTGTTCCCAGATTAGTTTTATAAAACGTAAAAGTAAAATTAGGAAACCTAAACTTTATAAAAGTTTATCTATAAAACATGAGATCAGATTTGTGTTTTTTCCAATAGTAGTGCTAAATACTGAATAAACAATGTAGCCAACCTTTCATTAGCATTCATCCATTAACCCCTTAAGGACCAAACTTATGGAATAAAAGGGAATCGTGACATGTCATGTGTCCTTAAGGGGTTAAATATCATTACATTTGAATTGGAGCACTAATTAATACCATAACCACAAACGTATTCCTTACGCTATAATGGTCTCCTCTTTTTTTTTGATTCAGGGCCTACTAAATCTAAATTAACATTGAGGGGAAAAAGTGTTACCTATTTTTTTAGTACTGAGGTTGAGTCCCTGCGGCCACTTGACCCGTGTCACGTCAACGCTTCTTAATGTCTCATAGAGGAGCATTAGGGACAAAAAGCATATGTGCCACAACAGTGCTCTCCTTTTTGAGGTTAACTGTGAGAACCAAGTTGACTCTGTTCTCACGGTGGAAGCGCCTCTAGTGGCTGACAGGTAGACAACAACTAAAGGCTTATTTGACCCGTCAATTTACTAAACGGCAGAACTTTACATTGTAGGGTTAAAACTAAAGGACCACTGCACCCACACCACTTCATCGAGATGGACTGGTCTGGCTGCCTCTACTGGTCCTT